CCCGTGGCCAAGAAGGTGAAAGCAAAGCTGCCCCCCAAGAGCCCCGGTGAAGCCGTCCCCAAACCCCCGCCGGTGAAGGAGGCCCCCGACGTCTGTATCAAAATCACCTCGCGGGCAGCCTTCCAGGAGGCCACCAAGACCAAAGTGCTGCCTCCCCGCAAGGGCCGCGGCCTCAAGCTGGAGGCCATCGTGCAGAAGATCACCTCGCCCAACCTGAAGAAGTTCACCTGCAAAACGGCAGCGGCGGCGGCCACGGTGGCGGCCACCTACGGCACCTCGCTGAGCGTGGCAGGGACGGAGCGCGAGCGGGCGGTGAAGCACGGCGCTGTGGCCCCGGCGGTGGGTGATGCGCGGCTGCCCAAACTGGCGGCGGCACAGAAGGCACCCGCCGTGCTGCCGGCTGAGCAGTTGTGCCGGAACCCTCACGGCCGAGCGCTGAAGGGGAAACCGGGCAGTGGGAAGAAGCTCTCTGCCGACGGCTCGCAGAACGAGGGCTGCGTGCAGGCTGCTGGGGCACAGCCCGGCTCGGCCGTGGCGGCCAAGAACATGGCGCTGCTGCCCAAGAAGAGGAACCGTAAGGGCAAAGCGGCGGCGCTGGGCATGGCCAAGGCACCCCTCGGCCCCGCGCTGCCGCTGTCACCCTGTGAGCGTGCAGCCGGGCCGGGCGGTGGGGACGAGGGCAAGAAACCAAAGAGCGAGGAGAAGGAGGCGGCGGGCGGCGACGGGCCAATGGCGGGTGGGACGGCGCGGGGGGCAAAGCCACGGGCCAACCACGCCAACTACAACGGCTACTCCAAGCGGCAGCGCAAGCGTTTGGGCCACGGCAAAGCCAAAGCGGTGCCGGTGCGCTGCAAGAGCCGGGGCAAGCGGCGGCGGCCGGCCCAGCAAGCCCCGCTGCCGGACCCCGCCGAGCCCGAGATCCGCCTCAAATACATCTCCTGCAAGAGGCTGCGGGCCGACAGCCGGGCCCCCCCCTTCGCTCCCTACGTCCACGTAGAGCGGCGCGGCGACTTCACCACCGCCTGCACCGTCATCAACTCGCCCGGCGACGAGGCCCGGCTGCAGCGGGGGCCCTCCGGCACCGTGCCCAGACCGCGGGCGGCCCTGCCGGCCTCCTCCGCCATGCACCTGGGGCCGGTGGTGTCCAAGGCGCTGAGCGCGGCCTGCTTGGTGTGCTGCCTGTGCCGCAGCCCCGCCAACTACAAGGACCTGGGCGACCTTTGCGGGCCCTACTACCCCGAGGACTGTCTGCCCAAAAAGAAGTCGCGGCTGAAGGAGAAAGCGCGGGCGGAGGGCGAGGAGGGCGGCGCAGCGGAGAGGCCCCGCGGGGTGGCGGAGAGCGGCTGGGCAGCCGGCGGCAGGGCGGGCAGGCAGGAGGGTGCCGCGGAGCCGGGCAAGCCGAGCGTGTTGCGCTCCAGCCCCCGGGGTGTGTTCCGAAGGCTGCAGAGCTGCTACTGCTGTGACGAGAGGACAGAGGGCGAGGAGGCGGCCGAAAAGCCCCGGCGGCACGAATGTACCAAGGCCGAGTCCCCCCCGCAGCCCGAGCCGGCGGGCGACACGCAGGAGCACTGGCTGCACGAGGCCTGTGCCGTATGGACCGCTGGGGTGTTCCTGGTGGCGGGGAAGCTCTACGGGCTGCAGGAGGCCGTCAAGGCGGCTGCCGACCTGGTAAGAGCTCGGCCGTCTGCCCCGCACGGGGTGGGCCCTGAATAATAGCAGAAGCAGCAGCAAAGCTGGGAGCAGCCTCTCCCGTGGCGTTCGCCATCCTCATTTAGCTGAAGCCATTTCTGTGGCTGCTCCCCATTTCCAGCCCGGACCCCTCTGGCGCTACAGCCCCATAGCAACTGAAGGCTAATGGCGTGTTGCTGCGCAGCTGACGTGGCTGGGTGATAAGGGGTTAAAACAAATAGGGTTGGTCTGCAACATCCGGGCATTAGGAGTCACCCTGGGAGGCTGGGGCTGGCGTTCAGATGTGCAAACCCAGCTGGCTTCCCATGGGCTGCCGCCTCCCTGAGAGCTCCTGAGATCTCCTTCAGCCTTAGGAGCGTCTGTATGCTGTTCAGTCATGCAGCAGCTCGCAGAGGGACAGATGCAGGGTGGGAGGTGGGAGTGGGCGGCCTGATGCCGGGACGATGGGCAGCTGGAGACTGGGGAAGGTACAGCCCTGCCCTGCTCCTGGTGCAGAGCGACAGGAGCATGAGAACGTCAGGAGAGCAAAATGGGGAGGAGGGTACTGGGAGACTGCCATGGAGACATGGGGTTTTGTGCCACGGCCATGCCAGCAGAGGCGGGGCCTGCAGCAAGCCCTTCCTGACCAGGTTTGGGGCTGGCTGCATCCATTCCATGACTACCAGGTAGAAATGCAGTGCCAGCCAGAGGCTGCAGCCCTCCCTGCTATGGCCCCCACCATGTCACTTCATCTCCATACCTCCCACGTTGCCACAGGGGCTTCTTGCCTTTGTGCCAGGCTCTGATGGGATCTTTCTATCTCTGCCTCTCTCCCACCCTGCTCCGGATTCCTGGCTGCGGTGAAAGAAGTGCTCAAGCTGCCAGCAAGCAGGAGCCACCGTGGGCTGCTGCCAGAAGGGGTGCCCCCACACCTACCACTACGCGTGTGCCGTCGACACAGGTGAGCCCAGGCGCTGGGATTGGGATGCGGGGACCCCCCCTGCTTCCTCTGACCCTGCTGATGGCAGAGCTGGGTGGTCTGGGGGCTCTGCACGAATGGTGATGATCTCTGTAGTCTGTGTCCCAAATTTGGCCAATTTCAGCTAAACCCTTCCTGCAAGCGGTGTGGCTCCTCCGGATGTGGCAGGGAGGATGCTGTGTCCTTGCTGCCCAAAGACAGCTGGTGGTAGGGGCTGCCCTCACATGCCCTCTCTTTTCCCTACAGGTTGCTTATTAACTGAAGAGAGCTTCTCTCTGAGATGTCCCAAACATAAGGTAAGCCCAGAGCCTTCGTGTCCCAAATGTCTCCAGCCCCTGAGGGAGATAGATCTGCTTTCAGACCATGTCACCATGTCCACCAGGACATCCCACTCCCCAGCACAGCTACTCCCAGTTTCAGCCTCAGTGGTCATCATAGAGTCGTTGCTTCCTGGGGGACACCAGGCACCCATGTGACCCTTGAAGTTGTGACAAGTGGGGGCTGCACTCCTACCTCCTCTTGACAGACTGTGGGGTTGTGTCCCCTTAACATGGAGCATGGAGAGTGTTGATTTAACCTAAAACCACACCCTCAGCCCTAATAGGCACATCCCCATCAGCTGGGGACAGAGGGGCATCCCCCCTACCCCCCCACGTGCCTTGTGTCTTGCCTCCTGCTAACACTCCATCCTTGTCCCCACAGAGACAGCCGGTGTAGCAGCACGGGAGGTGCATGGCCCCCGCCACCAGCGAGGGACCCGCAGGGGGGTGGCAGTGCCACCATCCCCATCTCGGAGCCATCGGGGGTCACCGGAGGAGTGTGGCCCCCGGGGTGGGCACAGCGCTGCCGGCCGCCCCCCTGCCTCTCTCCCCAGAGCCCCTCTGAGTGGGCAGAGCCCCTGGGGTGTCAGAACGGGGCCGGGGGCACGGAGCCCCCCAGTGCGGCGTGACGGGGTCACCAGCAGTGCTGACACCCGGCACGGCGAACACAGAGACTCTGCTCCAGGACTATGTGAGCTGCACAGGGGTGGGATAGGGTGGGGGTTGGGGGGTGTGGGGAGGGAGCTGGGGGAGGGGGGGGGGCCGTGTACGAGGGGGTCCCTGCGATGTTGTCTTACTCTGGGGCCGCCGGACACCCACGTGGGTTCCGGGTCTCCATATCTCACACTGATCTGATCTGAGATGTTGCCTTCAGCAAACCTCATGGTGTCTGTCTGTATATACGTGCGCGACGGAGAAAAGAAAAAGGAAAAAAAAAAAAAAACACTAGAAAAAAAGAAAAAAGAAGAAAAAAAAAAAAAAAAAGAAAAAAATCCAACCCCCAACAGCCTGCTGTTTGAACCACTTTGCTTTTTCCGTTTCGTTCTTCCATCCCTGCCATGCACAGCGTCTCTGCAATGGAGACAGCACTGTGCCACTGCTGTGCCAGTGGCCGTGTCCCCAGTGGGGCTGGTGGGCACTCCGTGGGCTCCCCCAGCCCTGATTCCTCCCTCCAGCCTTGTCCCATGGCACCCGCCTCCCTGTGCTCCGTGGGGTGGTGCTGGGCAGGGGATGCACAGTCCCCAGAAGCCCCCCCTCTTCTGCTCTGCCCTGCCAGCACCTCCTCAGCTCTTCCGCTTGCTGGGGATGGGCTTTGCTCCCCATGCTTGTGCTTTAAACCCTTCGGCACTGGGTGCAAACCCCGTGGCTCTGGGCACAAATCCAGAGTCTTGGCCTGGTGCAGGCAGCTGCGAGCAACCCAGAAGCAGCTCCTGATGGGCAGCATTGGTGTCTGCCAGGGAGAGCAGCAGTTCAGCCCCACAGGGACAGACACAGGACAGAGGAATGCAGAACTTGCTTCTCTCTTGCATGGCCAGGCTCCCTTGGCTTCAGCTTTGCCTCTCTTCCCAGCTGCTTCAGTGGGGCCGGGGGCTGCCAAGGGTGCATTAACCCCAGCCCCCCTACAAATGGAGGCAAAGCATCCTGCAAGCCCTATGTTCCCTGCCCTGTGCCCCACCATCACACCCTCCAGGTTTGCTGGCCAAGAAATGTCTGTTGTTTCAGCAGCTCGCCTTGGACACGGGAGAGAAAAGTCACACGAAAGAGGACAAAAGGAAAAAGAGAATAAAAGGAATTAATAAAAAAATAATAATCCCAGTGTCCCTGGCAGCGCTGCCTGAAATCTGGCTATTTTTAGTGACATCTTGTACATATGACTGTAAAATGGTAAACCGTGTGTATTATATATTGCCTCATTATATAGTGTATATATATGTATACATATACATATATATAATATATATGAAGACTGTAAATGTTAAGACTAGTGTTCTTATTAGTATATTGCTTCACACTGAAGATTGTGTGTAACAAGCTGTTTCTAAAAGATGTTTATTTTCCTTAAGAGTAAAAAACAGGTCATTGCATTCAGAGCGTCAATAAAGATACAACGATTGTTTTGGAAGTACTCTGCGCCCTGCTCGTGGCCTGTGTTCCTCCTGCGGGCGGATGGCCAAGCGTCCCTTTGTCCCCACGACCAAAGGTCTCATTGTGAGCTTGGGCTCGGGGACACAAACGTGGGGTTGAGGTGCATGGGGAGGTCTTGTGAATGGAGGGTGCATTTGGGGTCCCTCTGGCAGCCAGTGTCCCCATCCCTGCCACCCTTGACCCCCCCCATCCTGTGTAGCCTCACGCTGAGGAGAAGGCAGGACCCTTAGGTTATGCTCTGTGCCCCCCTCCGTGTGTCAGACCCTGCACCCCCAGTCCAGCACACGACAGTATAAATAATTGGCTTTAATTCACTGTACAAAACTCTGCAACTATGAAAATACCGTTTAAAAAGGCAAGGGGGAAGTGGGTGGGGGATAAGGGTGAAGTGGGGCACAGCAGGGAGCTATATACAAAGTAGGGGCACAGCAAGGGGATGGGGGCACCCACCAGTCCACATCCCAACCCAGAGCCACCCCTTCTCCCAAAGCGTGTGGGGTTGGGGCTGCAGGGGGGGCACAGCTCCTAATGGGGGGAAGGGGCAGTGCTGGGGGAGGGCAGGGGGGGCCCCTCTTTCCTACCACGGGCACCTTATGGTGCCATCTTAGCTGCCACCGCGGGGCAAACCGTCCCGCTCTCCCCTAGTGGGGACAGTGCTGAGGTGCGTCCTCCCCCCCAACCCGGTGCTGTGGGACCCACGGGGAGGAGCAGGGACACGCAGCAGACCGGGGTGAGGAAGGCCCCAGCCTTACGCTGGGGTTTTGCAGGGGGGTGGCGGGCACTGGGAGGAGGAACCCCAGTGCCGTGCAATACTGTGACAATGTCACTAGAGGTCCCCACGTCCCGTCACCCAACTGCGCCGGCCACCGGGACAGCCAGCAGGGTGCCCACGCTGGGATGTGCCCCCAACACCCACAGCGGATGGCGACACGGGACGTCACCCCGCCGCTCCCATCCGTCACCTTAAGAACTGCACCCTGACACCATCTCATAGAGAGGGGGACACTGAGACACGCGCGTCCCCACCACGCGTATGGCACGAGGGGGGGGCAGGTGGCACGTGCCCACATCCCCCCGCTAACCCGAGGTGACGGTGGTGCCGCTGCCCAGCTTGATGATCATCTGCTGGCAGTCGTGCAGCGTCCGCCTGTCCCCCAGCTTCTCCAGCGTACGGGCGGCCTCAGCCAACATCCCCACACGCTGCCCAGGGGCCGAGAGGAAGCTGGGGGGCAGGTAGCAGCAGGCCAGCAGCAGTGCTTCGGCGTGCTCCCGCGGCGTGGGGTGGCTCTCCGGCTCGCCGGCTGCAGGGACAGAGAGAAGGGAAGGGCACTGAGCATCCCCTGTGTGCTGTGCTAGACGTGGCACTTGGGGACACGGGTCAGTGGGCATGGTGGAGATGGGTTGGCAGTTGGATTTGATGATCATAGGTCTTCCTCAACCTAAGTGATCCTGTGAGTCTATTTTCCCACCCCAGAATGGATCTTTTGCCAAAACTATCCCCACCCCCAGCCCTATGGGGGTGCAACTGCCGGGGTGCCCCCGCCCCCCTCACCCACCTGCCTTGCTGCCCTGCACCCCTCTCCTCCGCAGGCTGCGGTCCAGCAGCTGGTGGGTGCGAGTGGGACTGGCACGGGCCATCAGCCTGGCGGTGGCTTCATGCAGGAACACCTGGAAAGGGAAAGATTGGGATGGGATGGGATGGGATGGGATGGGATGGGATGGGATGGGATGGGATGGGATGGGATGGGATGGGATGGGATGGGATGGGATGGGATGGGATGGGGAAGGTTGGTCGGAGTGCACTGTGCACAGGAAGGAGCCAGGAGGTTGTAGGGGGGCTCACCCTTCGCATGGCAGGCCGCAGGGTCTGTGCCAGGCGCCGCAGGCTGCTGAGGTCCTGCTGGAAGCCGCGGAGCTCCAGAGCAGATGCCTGGTAGGTGCCACGCAGCTGCTGGCTGGCACTCATCTGCTGCTGCCACAGGTTGGTGCGGGTGACCAGGAGCAGGTCGCACAGTAGAAGCTGCACCGCCTGTGGGAGGGGGAGAAAGATAGGGAGGAGTGGGTGAGCAGAGGGTGGGCGGAAGGATGGGGCACACAGCCAAGGCCCTCGCGGGCAGGCGGGCGCTGTGCGGGACCCCCGCCGGGCTGCATGGCAGGGGCATTGCACTCCCAGTCTGACACATGCAATGCAACTACAATGCACCCCCACGAGGGCCGGGGACGCCTCCTGCGAGGGCCGGGCACTCCCCCAGGGCTGGGCTGTGTCTTGTCCCCTCCCCGACCTCACCTTGTCGATGGTGCACTTGGGGGGGCTGCAGAGCTCCAGGCTCTCCCGCAGGCAGCTGCTGGCCTTCTCACAGTGGTTCAGGCTGGCCTGGCTGCCGTCCTGTTTGTTCAGCATGGCCCGGACCGCCTTGAAGGAGTGCAGTGCAGCACGAGGAAGGGGCTTCCTGCACGGGGACAGCGGGTGCCCATCAACATGTGCTGCACCAAACCACCCCAAAAAGGAACATATATGAGAAGTTGTTGCCCACCCGGCCCCACTGCCCCCAGCACTCACTCAGAGCTCTGCAGTGCCCGGGGCATGGCTTCCACCAGCGGGTAGAGCCGCTCAGCCCCCTCCTCATCACCCTTCAGCCAGTGAATGACCGTGCTGATGAGAGACGCCCACCACTTGGACACAGGGTCGGTGCCTGTGGGATGGGAGGGACAGAAGCACAGAACCTTACGGGTTTGTTGGAAGGGACTTCTGAAGACCATCCAACCCAACGGGATGGAGCAGGTTCTGAGGGGGAAGCCCCCGAGGTGTGGGATGTTGGCCTCACCTGTCACTGCCGCCAGGCCAGAGCTGATGGAAGGTGTGGGGCCGGGCATGCTGCTGGCATGGGAGCAGCCATTGAGCAGCTGAAGGTACTCCAGCGCATCCGAAAAGCGCCTTCTGGCAGAAGGGACATGAGTGGGGCTGGCCCCACCGCAAGCAGAGGGAAGGGACACCCCGTGGTATCCATCCCACACTCACCCCTCTCCCTGGGCAGCAGGACGGCCAGGTTCGGGCACGGCCACGCAGTACAGCGCCTTCTCCAGGAGGTGCTCACGGAAGAGCTGGGTCACCTGCGCCAACGGGTCCACTGCGGCACAGAGCGGCCATCAGCCCCCATCCCACCATCAGCCACAAAATGGGGCTCTGGGGCTCTGGGGGGTACCTGGGTCACCGGCGGAGCTGTAGATGGTTTCTCTCGGGACGCCCTTGACGGCCCAGTCCCCGTCCACGAAGAAGCGGTGACCCAACGGGTGGCAGAGCCACTGCATGGCGGGGGGCACAGCCCCACCATGGGACAGGGCCACACGGCGGGCACTGCAGAGGAAGGGGCGCTGCGGGGAGAGCAGGGGTCAGCGGGGCCTGGGAGGGCAGGGGGACATGCAGCATTGGGCTACAGGGATGGGGCCAGGGACATTGATCCCATGGAGGCTGAGGGGGGCAGGATGTTGGGCTGCTGGGGGGTGGAAAGGCAGGGGTAAGAGGCCACGATATTGGGTCCTACTGTGGGTTACCTACTAAGGTGGGTATGGAGGATGTGGCACCAGGTCCTGCAAAGAGGACACCAGGAAGGGGACAGAGGGGACACGAAGGCGGTGACAGACTCACAGCCAGGAAATGGAAGCAGCGATGCAGGCTGGCCTTGATGCGCAGCGCGGCCGCCACGTAGATCTCAGCCAGCGCAGCCACCGAGACGGCGTCACCGGCGCACTCAGCCAAGTTGACGGCACTGAGTGCCAGGTTGATGGCCAGCAGGTGCCCCCCAGCCTGCTTCCCTGCGGGGACACGGGGCAGCACGGGAGTCAGCGGAGTCCCCCGCTCCATCCCAAGGGGGCTGCGGGGCACAGAACCTACCAGCCAGGTGCAGCTGGTGCAGGCGGTGGTAGGCCATGGCTGCGTTGCGGGCGCTCTGTCGGACGTGGGCGCGGGGCGGGGGATCTGGGCGCAGCCCCCCAGCGCGGGCAGCCAGCCAGCGGCCCACCCAGAGGCGCTGGAGCAGGTGGCGGAGCAGGCTCCACAGCAGGCTGCAGGCCAGGTCCCCGTGGGAGGCGGGCAGCGGGCGGCCCAGGGCCCCCAGCGCCGTGCGGAGGTGCTGGGCGCCCTGTGCGAAATCCCCCTGGGACAACAGAGAGCCGTCAGTGGGAGGAGCCAGAGCGGAAGGGGTGGCGCTGGGGGCGCGGTCAAGCGTGGGTGCGGCCAATGGGAGGGGGAGGGCTATCTGCATGCGTGCGGCCTGTGGGCGTGGCCAGGGTACGCGCGGCCAATGAGGGGGCGGTGCGATGCGAGGGGGCGTGGTCAATGGGAGGGCGGAGCGTTGGGGGAAAGTGAATGGGGGCAGGGAGGAGGGGCGTGGCCTGTGGGCGGGGCTACAAGTGCCTTGGGTCAGAGCCGGCTGGGTTAACCTGAGATGGGGCTGGCTCAGGCCGGGGGGCGAAGCTAGCCTAAGTGGAAGGGTGGGGGTCTGGGAAGAGGCTGGGGGCTCAGAGCATGCTGATCATAGAGCAGCAGGCAGTGCTCACCCGGTCCAGGTCCAGGTCTGCCTGCCGACGGTGCCGCCAGAAGAGGACAGAGGATTCGGAGTGCGGAGGGGTGACCGGCTCCCCATAGACAAAGAGCCGCACCACCGCTCCCAGCACCAGAGCCACGTTCAGCCCCCAGAACACCAGCGTGGGCCACAGCCACTGCGACCATCCCCACGGCTCCTCTGTGTGCAGGGACGGGGGATCAGCACCGCCCCAACATCCTCCACCCCATCCCACCTCAACAACCCCACCTTGATGGGCTCCACCCCAGACAGCCCGTACCACACGCACACCCCAACATCGTGCCCCCACCACGGTCTTCATTCCAATAATCTCCAGCCCGTGCTCAACCCAATGGCGTCCATACAAATACTCTTTATGCCATGCCTTCCCCAACAGCCTCCATCCTACATCTATCCTCAAAGCCTCCAATCCAATGGCTTTTGCTCCTCCACATCTACCCCAATGACCTCCACTGCAATGTCCTGCAACCTGTTCCAGCCCAAAAGGTCTCCACCCCAAAGGCCTCCACCCCATGCCAGCGCTTACCTGCAGTGCCAGACTCAGCCATGATGCTTCTTCCAGGACCAGCAGTACCCAGGTTCCCAGATGGTGCCGGAGTACTGGAGCCACGGAGCAGAGAGGCCAGGGGGTTAAAGGAGAGGCAGAGGAAGACGAAGGCACAGAGGGCCATTCGGGAGCGGTCCAGCATGCCCTGACTGCCAGGTGAGGGTGGTGGATGCTCCTGCTTCACCTGTGGGGGAAAGCTGCCATGAACCATGGGCACAGACACATCCTGGACATGAGCACATGGACACGAAGCATGGTGATGGAAGCACGAGATACAGGGCATGGAGTACAGAGTATGGGTATGCGTTCCAGGACACAGACAGAACGTGGGGTATAAGGCATGGATATAGGGCAGAGAGCATGGACAGTGCACGGTATTCAGGTCATGGATATGGGCGTGGGTATTAACATGGACATGGGAGTGAGTGGCAGAGCAAGTATGGATGTGAGTATGGGGCTGAGGGCATGGGTATGGAACAGAGCACGGACAGGACAAGGAGCATACAGGGCATGGGGTACAGGACAACGTATGACACGCTCACGGACAGGGCACGGGGATGGATATTGGTACTGGGTTACAAGTATGAACAAGATATGAGCATGGGATATGATGATGTGGCACAGGCACGGGGTGCAGGCCGTGGGGTACAGGGCACGTGCATGGGGTAGGTAGCAAGGACACTGCATCACCGATGCTCCCCACATCCCCCCCTCCAGTCCTGAATTGAGTGAGCAGCAACCTAAGTGATCTCCTTCTCCCACACTTGGCTACTGCCCCCCCCCCAGCACACCCCCACACCTTGCTGTGGTTGCAGAGGGGGCTGTCAGGCTCCGAGTCACTGCTGCTGTTGCTGCTGCCCCCGCTGAGCGAGAGCGGGCTGCCGCGGGATGGGGAGCCCACATCCGAGGGCGGCGGGGTCAGCATCTCCATCACCTCCGCCTTCGCCACCTCCATGGGCGCCTCCGCCTTGGGGCCGGCACCGCAGGAGGCCACCAGGTCCTTGAGGGACTCTGTGGGGAGCGGGACAGGGTTTAGAGAGGGGGTGATCGCCCCAAAACCCGCCCTCACCGTTCCAGCATGGCACTCACTGCTTTTCTGCATGGCCATCTTCAGGCTGAGGTTCTCCTGCTTCAGCTTCTGGTTGCTCTGCTGCAGGAAGCGGATGTACTCGATGGCCTTCCTCAGGATCGCCGACTTGTTGAGCTGTGAGGGGCAAAGCACAGCTCAGCCCCACGCACGGCGCCTTCCCTGCCCTCCGCCCTCCCCATCCCCAGCGCAGCCCCCACCTTGGCCTCGGTGCCCACCACCAGGTCCTTCAGCTCCACGATCTTGTCGTTGATGGAGGAGCGGTAGCGCTTCTCGATGGCGTTGTGCGCCGTCCTCTTCTCCCCTTTGCTCTGCAGCAGCGCTGCCTTCCCGCTGGGCGCCAGCCGGTTGATGGGCAGCTTCTCAGCGTCCACCACCAGCGGCACCGTGGCCAGGATGGTGCCCCCACTCACCAGAGCCTACGGGATGGAGGTGGCATGGAAGGGGTCACCAAGCACCCCCACCCCAACCCAGGGTCGTGGCATAAAGCCCATTTGTATGTGAGCCACCAGGCTGAGCGTGGCTCGGTCACCTACCGGCACCTGCAGTGGAGCCGCGGTGCTGCTGGTGGCCAAAGAGGTGATGGAGGAAGTCTTGGCACTGCCAGCATCTGTCTTGACAGCTGTCAGCAGCAGGGAATCTGCCTTGATGAAGTGGGGCTGCAGCAGCACCTGAAGGGCCAAGGAGGGGTTTGTGGGGCTGCGATACAACCAAATGTCCCTTATAACTGCCCCCCAGCCCTGGGCTTACCGGCACTGGCTGGATCTGGGGTGACACGGGCTGGGTGGTGGCAGCGGGGCCGGGTGCCAGGAGCTGCTGCGGTGCCACGCTCTGCACGGGGCCAGGCAGTGCCACTGGCTGGGCTGGCTGTGGGGTGGGCAGGGGGCTCTGCGCAGCCCCCCCAGGCTGCACAGCTGAACATGGAGCAGAAGGCAGCGTTACAGGACCCCCAAACCGACCCCCCAACCCACAATTCACACACTCCCAATTCACCCCAAATCCTCACCAGGGAAGCTGTGCTGGCTCTGGAAGCCCACCATGGGCTGGGAGCTGAACTGCCCAGGGGATGCGGGAACGAAGCTGGAGGCCAGCATTACGCTGGGCTGGGGCTGGCTGCTGGGCACGGCCACAGGTTCCTCCTTCACCCCCGGTGCTGCTGGAGGTCCGGGGGCTGGTAGGAGTGGGGTGGGGGACTGTGGGGTGAACGTTGACAGCACGGGGGGGGCTGGGAACACATTGCCAGTGGGTGATGGCTTGCTGGGCCCCAGGTAACTGGTGGGGGCTGGGGGGAGCCCCGGGGACACTGTGCTGTCAGGGGCAGAAAACGGCACATCGAACAGCCCCGAAAAGTCATTGTCCGGTGTGTTGATCAGCTGCAGCATGTCTGAAAAAAAACAGCCCCCCCCCCAGAACTGGTCAGTAGCAGCCCTAAACATCAAGGGGGGCCTCAAAGCCATGGGGGTCTCCAGCCCCACACTGCTCGCCCCTGCCCAGAGATGTGGGAACCCAGAGAAGCACCATGCCAACCCCAGGGGCAGTGGAGCTGATCTCAGCCTGCTCCAGGGAAGCAAAATGGGGAGATAACACGTTGTGCCAGCTCATTCATTAGAAACTGGACACCAAAACCTTGACAACCCTGAAAAAGCCCCTGTATCAAGGGCTGAGGAGCTGGGGCTGGGATAGGGAGGTGGCACATCCAGATTGCATCCAACCCCCCCAACCCCAGTACCACGTGCTGCCCCACTCACCCCCAGGTGGGCAAAACAAAGGGTTAACCAGCACCAAGCCAGGAGGTCTGCCCTGCACACCGGAGCACTGGGGACATCCCCACAAACACCCCCCAACACATCGAAGTGTTCTGAGGAGCCCCCATAGAGTGACCCCCATTTGGGAGCACCCCCACCTGAACCGCGGTACCCAGAGATGCCGCCACCAAAGTGACCCACGAGTGCCCCCAAACCCCCCCAGATGCGCACCCCAAAGTGACCCAGGGGTGCCCCACGCACCGGGGAGAGCAGGAGGAGGAGCGGGGCTATCTGGCAGCACGCAGCCCATGAGATCCCCCATGGCGGCGGCTCAGCCGTGTGCCGAAGGCGGCAGGCTATTTTCAAACCATTTTTCTCGCCTCCTCCCCGCTGCCGCCCGCGCCAGGCCTGGAGCAGAGCCGGCCGTGGGGTGATGCGACTCCGCCAATCGCTGCCCGCGCGCCCGCCGGCCGCCCCCAGGCAGCCCCAAGGTGAGCACAGCGGGTCACTCGCGGGCACCCAGCCGAGGGTTACTCCAGGTCAGGCGGCGTTAACTCCTTCACTGCACGTCCCGACGTCCCACAGAGATGCCGGCACCCCACACCCCCCCGTGCATGGAGGGGGGCCCAGCTCGGGACAGCCGCAGCCTCGCTGGGTGTTTGTATCCCACGGAGCACCCCCGGCCCTGGGACGCTGCCCCCACCGCATTGCTCTGGGGGACCCCACAGGGCAGAGCACGTACATTAATGGGGACCTTCTCTGCGGTGTCAGCGGGACCCAACCGTGTCACCAGTGAGGGCACAGGGATGAGGGGGCACCCAGGGACAGTGGCAAACCCACGGTAGGTGAGGGCGCTGTAGGGCACTTATGGTCACGGTACAAAACCCCGTTGGTTTCCCTCCTCCCTCGCCCCACGCATGGCCCCACAGAGCTCCTCGAGCTCCTTCCACCCCACACGTGGGCCATAAACACACGGGGATGGGGACACGCACAGACCCTGGGATCGTGCTCAGAGCGGAAGCGTTTATATAAGTGCCCGTCAGCAAAAGCCCTCCCTGTAAATAGCAGCAGCACACCCAGCCCCTCTCCAATTGGAGATCACGGGGCCAGGGAAACGCTCCCAGAGGGACACCCTGATCCCACCTGCCCATCCCTCTGCTCCCTACAGCTTATGGTCAAAGAGCAGGGGCCACCGTGATCCGGGGCACGATCTCAGCCCTGGTTCGTGTCCAAGGAGGGCAGAGGGGACGCCAGCGCGGCTCCGGGACACAACACCTAGCAGGCAAAGTCCTCCCGTGCACAGGTGCAGCAGGATGTGCCGCTTCCCCTCCAGCGTGCCAAAGAGTTAAAGTTCACCCCGTGGCTCGGTTGGGTTCAGCTCCAGCTTCGGCTGCTGGAGGAGAAGGGGCTCCCAGCACCGACCCCACAAAGCACCCGTGAGCCCTGCGGGATGCTCGGGGGCTCTGCCAGCTCCGTCCCCGCCCCGCTGCGTGTTCCACCGGCTCTGCCGGTCTGTGCCGGGACGCCTCGGGGCCCCGAAGCGCACCGAGCCCGGGCGGAACGGCACCACGTGCTGCCTGGTGCAGGCTGGCTGCGTGCCTGATGCCGGGATGGGCTGGGAGCTGCGGAGAGGGTCCCGTTGGTGGCGTGACTGGGTCCTACTGGCACCAGAAACAGCTTCTCATTGGTACTAGGGAGCGGGTCACCCTCGGTGCTATGATTGGGTCCCACTGGCACTGGGAATCGGGTCCCCATTGGTGGTGTGACTGGGTCCTACTGGCACTGGAGATCGGGTCTACCTTGGATCCCACTGGTTTCGGAGAGTCCCCTTTTGGTGGCACGATGGGGTCCCACTGACATCGGGGAGCGGGTTCCTATTGGTGGCACGCTTGTGTCCAATGGGCGCCGTCCCCAACCCGCAGAGCCCCCCAGAAAGCAGCCACGGCACCGAGCGGCTCCGAGAGCCCCACGGTGACCGGGAGCTGCGGTGCAGGTGGGTGCCGTGGGCTCCAGAGCCGGGGACGCCCGGCGGAGCACCGCGCCCCGAGCCGCCCCACCCCCACCCACCGCCCGACGGCGCGGGGGAAGCCAGGAGGAACGACCGAGAGTAACCCCGGCGGTGACGTCACGGAGGGGCGGGGCTGGCGGCGACACAAGGCTGAGCGCTGGGGGAGGGGAGTCGTCCCGGGACCGAACCCGACGGCACCCGGCGTGCGACCCCCAGCCGTGCATACGGCACCCCAAAAGCCCATCACCCCCCCAGCACCATGCCGAGCACTGAGCTCCCCCGACCGAGCCACGGTTTTGCCGAGCGTGCACCGAGCGCGGGGCCCCCCCGGCCCGGTTCTGCACCGGGTGCGCTCCGTCCCACCGACCGCGCACGGGCGGTTCGGTAACTGCACCCGGCCCCGCTGCGCCGCACCGACCGCCGGTATCGCGCCGAGCCGACACCCCCGCGAGCACGCACGATTTCTCCGAGCAGCACCGACCCCGCCGCCCCGGTCCCGCTCCCTCTCCCCGCCCCGTCCCGGTCCCGGTTCGGTCCGCACCGTCGATGTCGCTGAGCAGCGCCGTGTCGATGTCGCTCGCCGCGCGGAGCTCCAGGGCCAGCCCCTCCAGGGTGGCATCGTCGAAGCTGAGAGCGCTCATCGCGGCGGCTCTTACGGGCAGCGGAGCCTTTAGGACCGGGGGGGCCGCCTGAGCTGGGCCGGTCGCCGCATGATCCGGCGGAGGGACGGGGATGCGCGGCCGCACCGTGCCCCAACCTGCTGCCGGGCGGGGGGGGGCCCTGAGAGCGGCCGCCCCTCGTCCCGCCCCCCCTCGGGGTCCCCGCCCCCCCCCGGTAACACCGGGACCCGCTGCGGGAGCGCGCACTGGCGGGAGCGGGGAAAGGCAGCGTTGTGGGGTGGGTGCGGGGTGCCTCCGGCGTGTGCCGGCCCCGCGGTGCGGAGCTGTGTCAGGGAGCTGCAGGTTGGGAGTAATGAGGTTTGAGGGTGCTGCGGTTTTAGAGAGCCGCGGTTTTAGGGTGATGACGTTTTAGGGCTCCTTCTGGGTTCATCCTCTTCCACCTTTTTGTTTCAGCCCGGGGAACAAAGCCCTGAAATTTGGCCCACCTCACCGAGGCTGCCCGTGGGTCAGATGGAGCTGGAGGAGCCCCGCACCGCTCCCCCACTGCGCCCCGTGCGTCGTAGGGACCCACGGAGCAGCACTGCGGCACGGGGCAGCGCCGCTCCCACATCCCCACCCGCAGCTGGAAGACGCCCCATAACCCAACCCCCGGGAGCCCACGACGTGCCGTGGGGCGGCTCGGGGAGCTGCGCGTTGCCCTCGAATCTAAGACCGCTGGGGACCGCAGGGCAGCGGAGGGCAGCGGGACCCCAGGTGCGAGCGGGGGCACGGAACCCCAGAGGGGTTTGGGCATCGCTGAGCGGGGCCGGGGCGACGACCCACACCGCGCCACGCGGGAGGGGGAAGAAACGGCACCGACTCGGCGCCGTTTTCCCGTTCTGCGCCTCCCCTGAAAACAGAAGGGCTGCGCCCCACGCCGCGCTCCCTCCGAAGAAACCGCAGCCCCCGCGGGGCGGTGCGCTCGGGGCCGCGCGGGGCGGGACTCCCCGGAATGACGGCCGGAGGGAAAACCCCGCCCGTAGAACCAGCGCGGCGCGGCCAATGAGCGCGGCGGGCGGAGTGGGGTGATCGCGCATCACGGCGCGGGGCTGCGTGACATCACGGCGGTCCTGCGAGGATCCACGTGGTGCTCGGCGTGCGGCCGCTGGGAGGGAACCGCCGCCGGGAAGAGGCGGGCGGGATGAGCGAGCGAGCGGGCGGGCGGCGAGCGTCGGGGCGATCGGGATCGGGACGCGCCGGGCTGCGGGCGGGGCGGCCCCGAAGCCCTCCGTCCTGCCGTGCGGCCCCTCCGTCACCCGGAGCCTCTTCTGCCCGTCGGCAGGGCCGTACGGAGGCGCGGGAGGCTCCTCCCTGCAGCTCCCGATGGAAGGACGCGGCGCGACACAACACCGCGACACAGCGCGCGCCTCCGGTCCACACCAGTAGTGCATTTATTGGAGTATCTCACATGCAGGAACCAAAGTAGAGATGATTTCTGGAACAGGTTAAACGATGGCAGATTAATACAGTTGTACCTTCCCTACGTGAATACAGCAACGTTTTAGTGTTGGGTTTCTTTAGCTTTATGGTTTGTTTCTCTTTACATCGTCGATCCCTTTACAGTTATGTCCCCCTTCTTTCCCTACCCCATTCCCAAACAAAAAAAAATATCCAGTATCTTCAGTAAATAAATATTATCCACTTTTATCTGGAAAGCCTACGGCTGTAATATACAGAGAAGCTATTACACAGGTTACATTTGTAGGGTTAACGATAGCTCATAGGAACATGTACAGAACGAGGAGCCCGTACTCATAAAAACACAGAGCAGGTGGGAAGCTCGGCACGCAAACCCACTCACTGCTTCACCATTTCCATCCCACTGTCCGTCCTGAGCTGTTTTGTTTTCCAGGGAAGGCTCAGCACGCCCTGTGGTCAGCACGGAGGAGGCAAACAAGGACAGGGATGGGGATGGAGGGAGCATCCCTGAGATGTCCCAGCAGCCTCAACAAGACAACGGGAGGCCATGAGACAGACAGGGCTGCTGCAGTGCAGCTGTGTTTGCTCTGCACGTCCCGCATCCATGGCTACAAGCAGAGCACCGAGCAGAGGAGAGGAGCAGGAGGTGCTGCTGGGATGCTGGAGGAGCGCAGCTCTGGGTTCTGCTCGGGGATGGAACCCACAGCCCCCAGTCCAGGCCTGGACCCACCGCCCGGATCCGTTCTTCACCACTGGAGGGAAACATCTGTCTGCAGCCAGCTGTGCTCCTCCATCAGGAGGAATCCGGACCCCAGAAAGCAAGCTGAACGCAGCCACACAGACAGGACACCCCACTGAGGCCCTGCTTCAGCTCAGGGTTGCACAACCGGCCCCAAACTGACCTGCCCATCTGCTCTGTGCGTCCCACAGCCTGCGGCTGGGCTGACGGGGAGGGCCCTGTGCACACTGGCTGTTCCCTTTACAAGACACCGTGCTGTTTTTATGAGCAGTTCTCCTCTGAGCCTCTCCTAAACACCCTAAACGTCTGTACAGCACATTGCTACCTATCACACCTGCCAAAGGTGCAGCTGCAGTCTACACGTAACAGTTAAAAAACCCAAAAGGATGTATTTAAATAGAAACCATTCATTTCTTACATCTCAGCACACGAGGGGTTAAAAGAAGAGGTTAAAAACACACTGGAAAGAAAAAAAACCAACCCAAAACACTGACAAAATAAATACCTTAACCTAAACAGGGTTTGATTAGAGCTCAGGAAGGACCCGGCAATAATTTAGTGTCACAGCATCACACTGCAGCTCTGCCTGCCCGGGGTTTCCCACGGAAGCGGCTCTGCCTGCAGCTCCATCCCTGTTCGAGGACGGAAAGCGAAGGAAGAAATCCCGAGGTCGCTCTCCAATGCGAAAACCCCTCCCCCTTTCCCGATCGGTTTCCACCGCTCAGGTTTTCAGCAGACCGCAAGAGGAGGGAGAAGATGAGAGATCCTGATACAGGAATCTGTCCCACCCGTGCAGGCAGGCCGGGGCTGCACCCTGCACGCTTCCTGCCCGCCTTGCTCCAGCACAGCTCGCTCTGGGACCCCTCCCCCAAAGGCCCCTCTACCACTGCCCCAGCTCAGCCCTCCCAAGGAAGGCACTGCCCTGGGGCTGCCCTGCTCCCTTCTGGTGGCACCCTGTGAGTAGGGCCCCAAAGAACTCGTGGGAGCAAAGCACGCCTTACGGCGCTATGGGCACAGAATGCTGCGAGTTGTGCCAGCGCACGGCTCCTTCAGCCTCAACCTTCTCGCTTCTCTACTCTGCTCTATTCATCACTGACAGCTCTGCAAGCTCTTCCAGATTCTCCCTAAAACGGGAAGGCCCAGGATAGGCTCAGCGGGAGCAGCAGGGTGAGCAGCTCCCCGCTATGCTCAGGTGCTGGGGGTGAAGCTGGGACACTGCAGGGCTGTGCTAACAGCGCCGGTGCCGTCACTGCCACTCAGCGTCACACGACCACGTCCCCGTGCTGGAGCAAGGCGATTATCTCCTGGGGCTTGGCAGGGAAGCTGGATTAACGTGCTTAGAATCACCTGATGTGGCCATTTACAGGGTCAATGCGTTTCAAGGATTTAGAAGAGCAAATCCACGCTTCAAACACCCACGGAGCTTTTTGCATTGACAGGAATACCAACAATTCATTCTGTGCAGGCGAGAGCGCTCAGGCGATCAGCAGACGCTCCTGAAATCAAAGCAGCGTCACGACAGAAGGATCCTCGGGTTCCTGGGAGCTGTGGCTGCAGCTGACGTGCTGCAGGAACTGGCAGCCATGTGCCTGGCAAGCAGCACCTGAGCACTGCGCTCACCCCGTGTCAGAGCAGCAGTGCATGCTGCTCCATCCTGGCACTACGTTACAGCTACAGAGAAGACAAAATAGAGAGAGCTGGCCTGGGGTGGCCTGGAAATCCTGCACCAAACAGAGCTTCCCTCTGCAGATGAAATGTGACAGCTCCCAAAAAGCACCAGTGCTGTGATTCAGCCATTTGGGAAAAGACAGTGTGCATCACAGGCTGCCAAAGCGTGGTGTGCCTTGGAGAGCATCTGAGGAGCTGAAATTATGCCCAGATAAAAGCTGTCACTTTCCTTTCAGCTGTTTGTAGCACGGCCTCTCAGTCTAGAACAGTGCCTGACGGAGCTGCACCCACACCAGCCTGACATGTATCAGTGTCCAGGCCAGAAGGAGCAGGCTGGGCAAGGCAAGGCCCAGGAGAGGGGTGTCCATGTGATAAGCTGCCTCCCTGCCAGGCCAGGAGCTTCTCTCTGCCACCCTGTGCCTCCGGTTTGCTCCCAGGGAACATGCTGGGCATGCAGACTGGGGGGAATGCAGCCCTCTGGGGGCTGGGATGGACAAAAGGGCAGAGGTGTTGAAGGACACTCCAGAAACGCTTGGGATTATGACCAGCACGGTCAAATCACCCAACATTCTCAGGCCTAGAAGGAAATGAGGGGATTCGCCTCCAGCACAGCCATAGCCAGTCCCTCCACAGTAACTCTGGGCATTCTCACAGACACCTCTGGCAGCTTTGCTGCCCTTCCCATCACAACTAGCACCGAGAGCCCTAACAGCCACGTCAGGGAATCCAGGAACCTCGGTTTGCACCCGGTCCATCATCAAGTCCCATCCATCTGCAAGGATGCTATTTACAACAGCTGAGACAAACGCAGAGCTCTGCAGTCACTGAAGAAGGAATCTCAGGGAAGGAAAAAATAACCTCGCTATTTTAGAAGGCAAACACGCTAGAGAAAACCCTCCTGTGAGAATGCTCTCCCAAAGAGCAAAATGCTTCATCCGCTCACATTGCAGCATCCATTCAGCTCAGCGTTTCTCATTCCTGACAACTGCCAGAGCTACTGGACACGGCCAACAGACTGCTTTCAAATTAGAGCAAGCCCAGATAAAACACAAGGAAAAAAATACCCTGTGAGATTAAGAATATGAAGCGCTGCACAAAGTGGGGAAAAGCGACCGCCATATGGTACAGGGAGATGTGTGAGTGGGAGAGTAAAGGATTTTAACTTGTGAAGCACATGTTGAAAGGGGAACAGTTGTTCCTTGCTGTCGGATCCGACACGAAAGCCAATACATTAACATTTTATCTAAAAATAAAGACACGCTCCCCCTGCACATTCCAGCTCAGTCAATTACACGCTGATCGACAGAGCAGTCGACTTGGCAGGACCTGCCTACAGAAGAGGATGATCCCTATGCCAACTGAAGGGCAAGGCTGCTCTCTCCCCTCTGGGCTTTTGTTTCAACACAGTGTGATGCAGTCATGCATTCGAAAGGGGTTTTCAGCATCAAGAGCTGGTTTTGTGCAGCTGGGATAGGAAGGAGGGGATTAAGCGAGCGCTGGAAAATCGCAGTCTGGCAGGAAGAGTGTTGGACTTAAACAGAAAGAGTCGGCTTGTGGGGATGGATTGTTGGAGAGCGAGAGAAAGGGAAGAAGGAGAAGCAACCTATGAGACTTTGGGGAGGAAAGGGTTGTTGTTAGCCAAGTGCTGTGGGAGGACGAGGTGGCCATACAGCAACGCTCTCCTGCAGAGCACGGGGTGGGACTGCGAGCTTCACAGTGCAAAGAGGGCATCCTCCGAGCGCTCCTGCTTTTTCCTGCTGGAAGGGTTTGTTGGAGGGGTGGGGGCTTCCAGGGGAGGGGACGGCAGGTTGGGGACCATCTCCGCTGCTTTGGCTCGCTCTTCTAAAAACTTGTCGAATTCTGCAACGCAAAAAGGAAAGAGAAGTAAGAATGAGGGCTGTACTTCTAGCCTGAGGGACAGAGGTGGGCAGGGTCTGAAGTTCCAGGGCCTGTGTTTGCAGGAATGGGGACAGACACCATTTGGGACATCCCAGCCCTGGCAGCAGGGGGAACTGAAACACACACTGCAATGGGAGCAGGGGAACCTCATTCCAAAGGGCTGAGCAGCTCGGGTACTCGCTCCTCCTGGCACAAGACAGCAGGGAAGCACTTACAGCTGGGAGGGTTCCTCATGCCATAAGCACCAACTTTCTGCTCTGATACACCCTCCTCCTGTCATACTGAGTGCAGAAGTAGGGACCAAAGCAGAGTATTCAGGCTGCATGCTAACCAGGGAGCAGCTCACAGCCACAGTCATCTTCTCTTACCTTCGCTGGTCACTCCTTCTTCCAGTTCATCTCCTTTCTGCAATTGGAACAAAAAGGAGTGTGAACACAGGGACAGCACTTCACCACTCTTTCCCCCCCACACACATGTAATGCAGCTGGACATCACTCATTCCCACACTCTTAACTATCTGAGCAGGGTGACCTGGGGGAACTGCACAGCTCCCACATCAGGCTGGTGCTGACTGATGTGCTGCAGGGCAGGAGGAAGCACCTGAGATGCTTTGGAAGATTGCTGGTGGCATCTGATAGCCAAATTTTCCCCACTGGACACCAATGGCTGACCCGTGCTGTTTCCACTTCAGCCAGCAATACTGAGTCAAACCAGCACTGTCATGCAGTCCTGTGAAAGGACTGCACTTTGCACAGTGCCTTCAAATAAAACACACTTTCAGCTGACCAAGTAGTTTGGGAGCAGTGTTCTTCCTGAGGTGTTCATTGCAGATCTCGTGTGAAAGTGCAGCAGGTTTCCTGGTGTCCATGCTGTGCACAGACCTGGTCAGGGCGGGCTGGAGGAAGGATGCTGCTGGGCAGTTTGCCTCTGCCCATGGCACACAAAGGCTGGGATGCCATGGGATCAGCACATTTCTACCAGCTGTGAATTTCTAACAGTCCTTTCACAAGGAATCAAGTCCAAGAAGGTGACATCCTTGTCAATCTGTTAGGACATCAAAAAATGGACTAAACTGATACTCAGATGCCTCAAGCTGCACCTGCTTTGAGACAGAGAAGTGTCTGTTTGTGTATGGGGCTTTTCCATCAGGAGGAGGGGAGCAGACTGAGCGACCTCACAGCAGTGTCCAATGCCTGACAACGAAATGTCACTCAGCACCTGCCAGGTTTCTACAGTACAGAGGTTTCCAAAGGAACATACAGCAGCCCCTGCTTCACATGCATTGTACTGTTTGTTCCAATGCATCCAAAAAGGGATAAGGAAATAAATAAACATTAGCTAATCTAATCTGCAGCTTCCTCAGCTGGGAAGCAGAGAACTGAGATGAATCTTCAACAACAAAGAGGAGGGGAATCCATCTAGGGTCAGGTTATCCATCGAGCTACCAGGGTGCAGCCGATGCCCAGAGCTCCCTCAGTGTCTCTCCATAAGATTCCCCCTCCTGACAAATTGATGTGACTGGGAAAGACTTCAAGCAGAGCGGACAATTTAAGTTTTCCACATTTCTTTGCCCTGAGCAGACAAACCAAGGGCTGCAGGAGCTGGGAGCTGCCAGGGAACAGTCTGCATTTGGAGGAGCAAGGGAAGGAGCCAATCCTGGTGCGTATGGTGAGCACAAAGCAACAGTTTGGTTTGCTCACAGCACATTTAAAAGAACAGTCTGAACTGCAGCTCACCCCCATCCCCAAAATGCTCCTTGATAATCAGAGTCGGGTGCTGACATCAAAAAAGAAACCTGAGTACCCAAATGGGGACTGGTGCAGCAAAACTCCAGGCCAAGAGAAGAGCTACTTTTAGCTCTGTCTTTCATTTGTTTCATAATCACCAGATAATAATCTCTCTAGAGAACTGAAAGTTATTAACGTTGAAGAGATGCTGTTATACATTTTTGTTTTTATTGTTGTTATGAATCATATCAAGACTTCCTGCTTGCAGATTTGAACAAAGACACACTGATTTGGAAGGAATGTGGGCCTTGACATAGCAGCTCTTAGGAGCATGCCTGGAAGTAAACACATGCCTGGATCCTGCCGAAGCCAGCACAGCTTTAACCGTGTGCTTCAGGGGTGGCGGAGAGCACAGGTAAATCTCAGCACGTCTTTGGGGGTTTAGAGCTGGATGAGGCCCCTTCCTACCCAACCACTATGACTCTGTGCCTACATGCTTTCCTCCAGACATGACTGGGATCGTGCCCATGTGATGTTAGCATGGGCAGGGCAAAGCACAGCGACTTGGAAAAACGCTTTGAATTGCTGAACACAATGCTATCTTATCTCCATCTGCTTATGCATTCCCCTCAAAAGGAAAGAAGCGATATGATTTAGAAGTTTGACTGTCTTCTCATAATGAGAAATGCCAATAACTCAGCAACACATCCAGAATTATCCGTACAAGTGCTATTGCCCATGTGAAAAATGAAAATATAAAGAGTCTCACCACGTCGGTACTGAGCCACTCCTCAATGTCATCCATGACAGAGGACTGTGCAACAGGGATCTAGGGAGTGCAGCGAGAGAACAGCAAGGCAGGCAAACCCAACCACATCCACAACCACGGCCACAGAGCGATGGAAAACGCCAGAAATAAGATTAAAAACAAAACAAAAAACAAAGATGTAAGATGGGCTGGAAAAAAAAAAACAAAAGTGACAAAATATAAATGGCATTTCAAATAAAGAAACAGTCGGAAAGGAAATTACAAACAACAAGGCTTAAAAAAAAACAGGAGAAAGATTATGGGGAATGACATGACTGGATGTCAGCGTGTGATGGGGCAACGTCCTGACCACACATTAAAACCATCAGGATGGGCTGATGATTCTAATCTTGATCATGAAAAGCTTTTCAAGGTAGAATATTGGATATCGGTTAGGTTTTGAAGTATTAAATTTATATATATATATATATTTTTGATGGGTATTAGCCATGATGAAGGGTTAGCAAAAAGAGGGCCCAAAGCCTTCTGGCAAAGCTCGGCTGAAAACCATTTAATTTTCTCAGAAGGTGGAGGCAGCCTGAGACAAACACGATGTTCCACTCCTGGTCCTCCTCCCACTGCACCTAGGGCTCAAATTCAAGCAAACCTGGCATGGTTCCTCTGTCAGAGGCAGCCCTCTTGGAACAGAGGCAGAAGGACCCAGCTCATGTAAAGCACGGTGTCCCCAAAATGCAGTCGAGGAAGAGGAAGAGGCAGCAGCTCCTCTCAGCTCCTGCCTCGCTGCCCCTTGAAGAACTGCACGGGCAGCTCAACAGAACGGCCACGATGTGCTGCTGTGACAGGAGAGCAGCCACAGGGCTGGGTGCTGCAGTGTGGCAGCGACCGACTCAGCGAGGGGAAATCACTGTGCGTTAGGAAAACCATTTCCTGACCAACTGAGCTGCTTAAACACAACATCGGGCTGTGCAAGAGGTAAACAGGAAAGCACCACAATAGAGCTAATAAGGACAAGCTTCAAAGCGTTTGGAAAGCATGTCAGGCATGCAGGTGGCAGGGCATGGGGCTGGCAGGGCTGTGAGCTTCCTTGGAGCTCTGTGGGGCTGTTGGAGCTCTGCCTGGAACCTCTGCTGGGAGGAGAGCAGGCAGAGGTTTTGCAGGTGAGGTCACCGGGAGATGCAGCTTCCTTGCCACTATTTAACAGTGCTCTGCAACGATTTTGCCTTCTAAGGTTGGATATAAAGAAATATTTCTCCTTGGAAAGCGCAGTCAGGCAGTGGCACTGCTGCCCGGGGAGCTGGTGGGGTCTGGAGGTGTTCCAGAACCATGGAGATGTGGCACTTGTGGGCACAGGCAGAGGGCACGGTGGGGACAGGTTGGACGTGGTGATCTTAGGGGTCTTTTCCAACCTCAATGATTCTGTGATTGGGCTGGGGAAGGGGTGGAATTAGGGTAACAGCCCCCTTTTAATTTACAGCGGAGCTGAACCCAGCACAGCCAATACTGGCACAGCGCGAGGGCCATGAAGGAGAGCAGGGCCCTCCAGACATCCTCCACCACGTGCCTTTCGGGGACAAGCTCCATCTTGTTGAGCTGACTCGTTAATTTAACAGCTTTGGAAAATCCTGGCTTCAGAGACACAAAGTGAGGAATCTATTCAGCCTACAGCAACCTTGAACTACTGTGGAAGTTTCACCGCCGTTTCCCCCTCGCATTACCTAACAGAGCACACAGCAAGCAATGCTGCAGAAGGTGCAGCTGTGGCAGCTGCTGGCAGCTCTGAAAGGTGCCCAAGTTTCTTTAAGGACAATATTACAAAATGTGCAGGAAGGTGAGGAGGCAATGAGCAGGTTTTGTCTGTTTTTCCATGAATAAAATAAGGGCCTTTCTCTTAAAGGATGGTCCTGGGGTCTGTGCAAGGAACAGGAATTCAAATAGTGGCTGTCCTGAAAGCACAAGAGGTGATCAAACAAATGATGCACTCCCAAGGGTGGCAGCAGTCCCAGGGCTGCAGGAGTCCTCCAGAAACAGCTCAGTTTAGGAGCTTAGGAGTCGTGCTGCTGTGTTTTGTAAGACTGGGGGGGGGAAAGGCTGGGATAGGAAATCTACTTCCAGGCAGCCCTTTTTTATAGAACAAATAAGAACCTCAGAAGAGCAGAAGCACTTTCTACAGCTCACACACAAGAAGTGCAGAGAGCTGTAAGATGAGCATTTGAGCATGTCAGATGTTTGCTGTTCAGCTCTGACCCTTTATAAAGCTTCCCCCATCTTCCAGAGCTTTCAGCATGCACAGAGAAAAGCCCAGGAGTTGCACCCACTGCTCCTGCCATGCTCAAACCTCCAATTGACTCTCCTGAGATTGAACCCCATTCTCCCCATAAAACATGAGTCAAATGTATCAGGTTCAATCTGTTCAAAAATAAAGCAAAGGGGGGAACTTTCAAAGAGTAAAGGAAAGTTTTCAGATGTTTGAATTGTAACATGTACTGTTCAAGTTCCATCTGAGACTGCCTATGCAGAATGTGGCTTTCTGCCAGCTGTGTATTTGCCACATCTCCCCCTTCCCAAAGTTTCAAAGCGACAAACATGGAGTGGGCTTCTGTTAAAGCTAATCCTCAAAACATGAAGCAACATGAAAACAAATGAACCAGTACACACGTTTAAAAAGAACAAACAGCAGCAGCAGCCACAGACTGCATAGAAATGGCTCCAGAACGGGACAGTCTTGTTCATGCATGGATTACACAAACATACATGGTCTGGTGGAGCTCTCAGCTTTGGCCAGACAGCTCCCCCAGATCGTCAGCGTTGGCTACAAGAGCTGTTTTTATAATGATACTCTGACTTCTTTTTGAAAAGTCTATGCTTGCTGTAAAAGGAAATTAAGTCACAACATATTTTCGGGTGCTTTAAGTCACTAGCTGTAAATAAAAGATGGGCTCATGGTTCAAATCTCTCTTTTTTTTTTTTATTATTTAGTCTTTGGAAAAATCCTACAAACGGGATCATCTCCACAGAGCTGACAGGGAAGTGGGGAAGGAGGGCCAGGACAACAAATGGGACGCATCAATCCCTCCGAATCCACAAGAATTTGGAATGCAAATCCTTCCTTACTGAAGTTAGATTGTGTTGGTGTTCTCTCTATCAGCCAAAGCCGAAGTATTGCCAATATGTTCCCTCAGAAGTCACAAAATCCAATATTCTACCCTTAAAAAGACGGTTTGAGGTTATTATTATCACATTTTATTTCTATTAAAAAATGATCCCACTGGAAAAGAAGCCGGGATGAAATGACAATTCAGGTCTCTAGGTGAGCTCATTAATGTCCTTAAAGCGTTTAACAAGATTCATGCTAATTGTTGCTAGACGACTGTCTTGTAGCAGCTTTGTTAATTCCACTTCTTTCCAGATGTTGAACAAAGCTGACACCAACACCTGGTTGGCTGCTACGCATCCCCTTGGTTAGCAGCAGAAACAGTTCTGTTATTCCTATAGCTACAGCACATGGACAGGCGTTAGCAGTCCGCTCCAGCTTACCCCGACAGCCCTGTGATCTATTTCAAGCTGCTGTGATCTTGAAATAGCTGCCTGGCCTCCATATTAGAACACGCTTGACTTTACATGTAAGGATTTAATTAGCTACTTGATTACTTGTAACTATGTTTACACATTGCAAAGATGGGGAAGGCAAGAGCTCAGGTGCAGTATGTCCCCAGCACGGCCTGCTGCACCTGTACAACAACCTGCCAGGCAGGGTCTGATACAGGCAGCATGAGCCTTCCTTCACTGGGCATCAGCCTCGGCCATGAAATATAACAACTTGGCAGGTGTAGGAGCCCACATCCTCTTCAGGACAAGGGAACGTGCCTTCAGAAAGGAGAGGGGTCCAACCACGCAAAAGGAATGAGATCTTCATGCAATCCGGTCTCCAAGATGATGTCTTGCATCAGTAATCTCGTGTTACCCAACTCATTTCTACATCTTAGATCCTATCTCTCCACTGAAAGTAGACAGAGCAGCATCCCACTACATTTCTAATTAACATCTCAGCGAAGGTTCTGTTCAGTGTTTACTCACATATCTTTACAGCTCCTCTCTGGCCAGGCAGGCTGCTGGCGGTCAGGCTGTGAGGCTGAGGGCTGTCCATACCTGCTGCTGGGAGCTCTGGGTCAGTTTCGTTCCCCCTTCATCTCTGCCTCAACGTCTGTCCTGACGCTGTGGTTTAAGCAACACTCGCTCCGTGCTTTTGCAACAAATACCCACTTGGCATGGGAGCAGGCAGGCAGATTATTCTAACAACCAAAAGTATTCATGCAAATCTCAATAGCAGCTGAACTCATGAAAAAAGGAACTGGAATTACTTGCACTAACGTGGAGTGGCCTTATGCTAAAGGCTGTGGCTAAGAGCTGCTGCTGCAGACCCCCACAAAAATGGCCCAACCTGCAGAACCTGGACCTCACTCTGCAAGCAGACCCCTTACTGAACAGCTTAGCAACATCTCGAGGGCATGTTTGAACATTTTCTGAGCACAGAACTAAGTTAGCTTTGCAGGCAGACCTGGAGGGGATAAGCATGGTGCATCTCCATGGACCTGCCAACACCTTGCCAGAACTGAGCTACAGATTAAGCTGAAACAGAAACAGTTCTTCCCAATTCCCCAGGAGGTGCACACAGAGCCCTGACCGAGCCTCCCTCTGCACAGCTGTGCTGGGACACACAGAGATGGAGCGGGAAGAGCTCAACACTAAGCTTAAAGTGTATCCTAGTGTGGGAAGAAGAACAGGAGATCACAACAAAAGGATGTGACGACCACTTGGGCAGGATGCTCCAAGGAGAGCGGGGACAACGTCCTTTTTGTGGTCTCAGTGTTGTATAGGCACAGTGAATAGCAGCATCAGCTCACCCTTCTTTTCTCCCTCATCTCTAAAACACAGAAAGTTACCACAGAATCTGCACACCAGGTTCATACTGGGGATGCCAGCTGTTGCACCCGTTTTGCAATGGCTACGAAGTTATATTAATACACACAGTTAAGAACTACAGCCAGGCAAGAGAGAAACAGAGTTAATGATTAGTGTAGGTTTATTTTAGGTATTTCTCTCTCACATTTAGCACACAAACAAGGTGACAGGCTTGTCAGAGCAGCGACCAGCTGCACAGCCAGCCCCTCCCCCTCCCCAGCTCCGTATGCCTCCATGAAGAGTGCAGTATCCTTTTTCCAGACTGAATAACCACAAGCCAATAACAAATACTGTTTGTTTTTCCAATAAAACAGTGGTGCGGGGGGTGTGAGCAACAGGGCTGCTCTTGTAAACAGTGGAATGGCAAAGAAGAGGACCTGTCTCCACCACGGGATGATTCACGATGGATGGACACCCAGCAGTGGCACAGTGCACCTGCACCGAGTTGGTGCACTCTGATATTGCATGCTCTGACTGTTCTTAGCCTCGAGTTTTCTGGGATGTTTCTCTTTCTGTGCACTGGTGACTCAGTCTGGGCCATCGGAGGCCCTCCCTGGAGCAAGGCACTCGTGCTCCACAGGCATCCTGCACTCAGCCTCATACTGATGGTGTGTACCAACCCCACAGGGTTCTGCACTGCGTGTTTCCAAACACTGATGCAGCCAGCACTGCCTCCATAGGACTGTCAGGACTTTCTACAGTAGGTCACATTACTGCTACTATTTTCAAACACTTCAAATGATGGATGATGTAGTCCAAAAACACAAAACTACCCTTAGAACTCGGCTTTCAGGCACAGCAGAGGCTTTTTATTATTATTTTTTTTTAACCTACCTCTGTCTCCTGCACTTAAAGCACACTTTCAGACTTCTTGCTGCAAGCATGTTGAGGAAGGACACAGAATGTGCACAAATCCTGAGATTTCCAGAAGCTTGATGTTATCAGAACACTGTCATCACTAGACACAGGATCTAAACCCTTAAATCCAGGAACACCACTGTACCTCTTGAAGCCTGAATCCTGATGCCTGTGTAATTCCCTGACTGAGGTGGAAGATGTCACACTGGGTAGCAGCTCTCCCAGTTTCTTCTTCCCATATTTAAGTACCCCTGCATTACTAAGTTCAATTAAATATGACCTAAAATTACATATGTTTATTCCAGACTGTTAAGCACTGCCTGAAAGAAGTTAAGCACTACCAGAAGAGTCTGCTTTAAAGGCACCTAGAAAGTGTTCTCTTTGCAAACAAGATGCATGAGACTTGTGTTTATCCCTTGAAAAGTGGATACTGCATAATTAAATCGAGACAGTATAAGGAACCAATCTGACCCCCAGGCCCTTCTGAAGGTGCTGTGGGATTCTACAAATGATTCAGCTGGTTACAGGCCTTTGTCCTGCACGAACCAGAAACCGGTGTAAATTTTTCCCTCTGCCCCAGGTAACGACATAGGTGGGAAACAAACTCCTTGTACTGTCTGATTTCAAGTGGTTCAGTAGGGCAGGGTGAGAGGTGAATGGAGGATGGTTATTGTAGGTGAAGGGGTTGGGGTGGGCAGTAGGAGTCGTTCCACTGGTGAAGTCCTCACCATTCCTTGTGTAATTAGCCACTTGTCTATGGGCTCCATGTCTGAGTTCCCACTTTTACCTCTCCTCTGTGTTGAGAACAGAAAAGTCCATAAAGAGAGAAACCACAGCAACACTCTTGATAAAGTAATATAAACAGCAAGTTGAAAGCTTCACATACACAGACATGCACACACGCATCCCCCTCTGCTGCCTGGCAGCTGTGTCCATGGAGGGGCAGAGCCCTGTGCTTCCTACAGTTCACTGAATTTTAGCACTTCCTCCACACTGTTATTAAAACAAAACAAAAACCTGACTAGAAGTGAGGCTGATGTTTGTCATCTTCTTAGAAGAAGAGAAAGTGTCGGCTATACCACCTACCAAAATCAATCAGACTTTGCTGGAAACACGCTGCGAAGTTCCCCTTGTTTATAATGCTGTAAGTCAGAGCAAATCTTACTTATCCTCTTGATCTCGACAGACTCTGCCTCAAACTCTACCAGCCCAACAGCTCAAGTGCAGGCATTATGCAGGAGGTAAGAGATGGCAGCCTGCAGGAGTGCTGCAGCAGCCTTTCCCACTGCCCACCTCCGAGGGTAAAGGACCTCCAGGGGCTCTGGCTCCCTCTGGCCCTGCAGAGCAGGGCTGCTCTGAGTTGAGTGATACTCATCCTATGTGGGATACCTCACCTGCCCCCATTACACCAGATAGTGGAGAATCAGCTGCAATCTCTTATGTCTCTTACGTCAGTATTTGTGCTGAGAGGAAGAAAAAGAACAGAGGGGGAAAAAGAACAAACAAAAAAACAGTCCAACTTCATCTGCTGTCTGCATAACAGTGAGAATCGTTTCTTGGCCACCTCTCCTCCCAGCTGTGATCACGCAACAACTCTGTGGCAACAAAAGCAATTCCCAATGTGGAAAACCAATATTAAGAATTCAGAGTATTTTTAGCTTGTCCAGTTTCCAGCTGTTACATCATATTAAAAGACAACTAATGCCACGTGACCGGCCGTCTCTCTACAGATCTTTCTGAGAATGACTACATTAGAAATGTTGGATGTGCTGAAATTTCCCCCTGCACAACTGTGCTGGAAGACAACGTGTGCAGAACGTGTTGCAAAGCTCTGTTTCCACCCTAGAGCTCGTCTTAAATTAGCTCCCTACCCACATGAACGCACGGCTTTCATTTGCTGCTCACTGCCAGTTCTTCCCTACGTGTGCTGCGGCTGGTAACTTCAGGAGAGTTTAATTTTTATTTCCTTTAAGAAGAGACACCCATAAGCCTCACAACACTTGACAAAAAGTAGCGTTTACTAATTAAAGAAAGTGCATTGCAGAAGGAGCTATTCTTATTACATGATACAGTCACCAGGACCTTTGAAAAGCGCCTGAAAGTCTCTACACCATCTCAGAGCCCAAAGTTCCACAACCCATAAAAACCTCCTCAAAAAACTTTGACCCATCAGATTAGCTTAGATACAGGCATCTGAACTGATAAGACTTCAGGCAGAGCAGCAGCTACACTGCTGTGAATGACACATCACACTGGTGCCTCAAGCACAACTGCCTGAGAACAGAAGCATTAATAAACACGGACGGCCCCCTTGGCCAGCAGCTAATTCAAGCCCCTTGCTTTTGGTTAGCCAGGAACAAAGAACAGAATCTCAGAGTGCTTCCCAGGTCCTCCAGTAACTGAGCACAGTGACGCAGGGGCTCTGACGGTAGCACTGATGTCAGGAATTCTTCTCTCTCTCCCTGGTATACTTCTGCCCCTGCCTCCCTATGCTACCACCCCTTCCCTCAACTGTGCTGGCACGGATTTCTGTGGGACGGGTTACACACTGCCCGTTTGGCAGGAGGACAGGGACGGCAACCGGCAGACAGATCTGTGGGGTGGGGGTGCTCCTCGGGCAACAGATGCTGAAGCCCTGCAACCGCTGCACTATGGCCAATGTGGGCAGCTGTGATCCGACCCCAGCTGGCTCAGAACACAAATTCTCTCTGGCTCAGAGCAGAAGTCGCCAGGCATGCCGGCTGCCCAAAGCACTCCCATTTCAACTGAAGAGAGAAGCAGGGCGGGATCAGCCAAGGCACGGGGAGGCAGTTCTGCATGGAGGGAGACATGTCCAGGCTGCCCTGCCTCTCCCCCGTGCTACACTGGCTCTCCCTAGTGGTCAGCACAGACTGAAATTGCATAGGGAAAGACTGTGCTTTCTTTGCCATCTGAAAACTTACTGCTGTAAACTGGACAATTTTAAGAAGTAGGGTAGTAGAAAGGGCTGAGGGATGACCTGAGAGCTCCTTCCACTTCTGTCTTCACAGAGGCATACACACACAGTTGGCCAAGCTCATCCTCCAAAACAAGTTGTAAGGACCAGGTGGTGTGAGAGGTGGCAGCACATGGGTCCCTCCTGCCCAGGGGCAGAACAGATTGCATGCAAAGGCAGCTGTGGCAAGGCATGCAAAGCATTAAAAGTCTGAATAATTTCTCTTCCTGTCGCTTGCTCCTGCCCATGCACTTTGAGCAAAGTCTTGCAGATTAAGGCTGCACCAACTTTCATAAGCAAAGTCAAAGCAAACAGAGGCACACCAGCATTAACAGGATGTTCCCTATTTATTCTTTTCACCAACAACTCCAGTCAAAGAACCAGACCCCTCAGGCAAGCTGCAAGCACACAGGACAATTTACCCGCTCTCATTTGGAAGGCTTTTAGGTTGGTGTGCTAAGTCACAGCTCTTTAGCAATCATTACTGAGTAAGTATTGCTCCTAGATACCAATTTCAAAATAGCCAGTACTAGCATGTCACTAGAATACAGAATGAGAAGACTCAGTCTAAGGAGCTGTCTGCAGCTTGGATTCCACACACAGCTTCAGATAACCAAACGCAGAGCAATGACCTACCCCTCCTGTGTTCTGTTTCCGAACATCCAGGGCAGACGCCAGTCCTTTGACAGCCTGTGGGTCCTCATATGTCACACTGCAACAAAGGAACAAACCACAGAGCTAGAAGGAAGCCCAACAGTCATCCATGGAGAATGCACATGCTATTTTGATTAACTTCTCTTGAAATTGAAAAGTACATTCTTTTTCTTAGAAGGATTTAAGTGCACCACACGTATTCTAAAAAGAGGGGCGTGCTCTGTGTAAAACTAGCTAGCAGTTTCTCAGACAGCTTGATGGAGAAAAAAAAGGGGAAGACTGACATTATGGGAGGGAGACAAATAAGTTATGAGGCACATCCAAGAGATAGCAGGGGACTGTGAAAAAAGGCCTGATTACAGACTACGATTTACCAAACTTGATGTTCGGAAACCTTGATGCATGGAGGGAAACTGGCAGACAGAGATTTGGAGGCAGGCGAAACACGCCTAAGAACTAAAGCAAAGCACATGAAAAGTGCACTGACTTGGCTCATCATCACCTGTTTGCAGAGGCTGGATTTTTAAAAAGCTCCTTACAATGCTGTGTAAAAAGGACATGTACTAGTCAGGTGACAGAGGCAACTGCATCACTTGTCTGAGCACAGCACCAGCCCCTGGGAGGAGCCATGGCCGTGCAGGAGAGCTGGCTTTTCCTGGGCATGCAGAGGCTCTCACTTAGGCATGGTGGCCCGTCACACTCACATCTTCACTGCCTCACTGCTGCTCCACTTCCACAAGGAAGACACAGCAATCCTTCCCTGTGAAATCACAGACTGATGGGCACTCCTTGTTCTATTAGCTCGCAGAAGGAGACAGAGGTGCAGTGTGGGAAGCTAGTTTCGCGCTTCATTTAGCACAAGAGACAGAGGGAACTCCATTAGATCTCTCTGCAATGCATCTCCTTTCTGACTGCACATTAGGGCTCTCAGCCTGAAATATCTAGTGGTAACGTGTGCCTCTACAGCAGAGCACATCTCAGCACTGACACTACAGCTGAAGCAGTACAAACAGCTGTACTAATGGCTGCAAATGAAAGATCCTAATAAGCCTGCCAGCTGAAATTATCGAAAACATATCAGCTCCAGAATATCTGCTGAAGTCTCAGCTAACCTATTTAACAACATTTCTTGGTTTGAGACAGTGTTGCTCTGACTGCTGCTAGCCATTACACCCTCTTGAATTTGAAACCAGGAGGCAGCAAGAAACAATATATGAAAGTAAATTACCTGAGTGGCTTTTAATGAATCTCACTTGACAGGGATCAAAGGATTTCTTAATAAGATTTATTTTACATTAAAATAATTGGGCCTGTTACATACCCATGAAATTGCCAGACTTGCAGCCCTAGAGATACAAGCCCTACAAACATAAACAAATCAGAGACAGTATGACAGCCATGTTGGTGCAAGCCACACTGCCTTGACATCCTGAGAGAGTCTCATCGCTGGGCCAAGGGGAGAGTTTAACTGATGTTAACTCTGTTTTCAAGCCCTCAACCACAGCAATTCAGCCACCAAGGTATATCCATGACCTTCATATGAAAGATGTTTATGCTCCTCTACCTTAAGCACTGGCCAGGTGGATGGGGTGACAAGCCTTTTTGAAAGCAAAAGTAAATGCAAGTTTATTTCCAAGTTTCCAGTGAACTCATTAACTAAGACAGTCAAGTAACATTACCCAGCCAGTCTGCTCTGGCCAGCAGCAAGAACTTCCCCATTTGCTAATACTAATAAAGACCAGGAAGATAAGGTCCGGATTAAAAGCAGCACAAAAACACACATCAAAACTACTTTTTTCCACCTGGAATGAAACAAAGAAGTTTCAGACCCATGCCCTTAGAAAACAGTAAGGCCATGAATCAAACAACACTAAAGATAAACTCCGACATACTTCTTTCGTTGCTCAGCCAAGGAACTGCCTCTTGTTTGTGCAAACATGTCGAAATCATCGCGAGGGTTACAGTGCTGCAGGGAGCTGAGTGTGCCACTGACACTGTTTGTACCCAGGTCTGCAAAAGAAGAGGACCAGTGAAACAGTATTCATGTGCAAGCAGTGCCTCGACTGGGAGGCGATAGAGGAAGTTATTAACAACACAGCTATAAACGTCATCTAGTTAACAGCTGTAGCAGAGAACCTCCAGTCAAATCAAGTGATCACCTCAAGCAATTTTTGGTTTGGTTTAATGTAAACTATCCATCAGTTTCACAGGACCTTTCATTCAAAGAATTCAAGTATTATTTGCAGGAGAACGGTCCAGAATATTCACTGTATTCACCCCATAGAGTGCTAAACCTTAGCAAGAATAAGAGTACAAGTTTTACCAGGACTGAAAACCTGCATCTGTCTTTTTTCCTTCATGCTCCCCTTTGGTTAATAAATCCCTCCCTTTTGTGCCAGGCTGATTCACAATTACAGATCTCTATAGTGCAGATGAATGGGAAAGCCTTCCTAAATGTCAAAGCCACATAACCAAAACTTGCTATGGTTATACAGCAAAAGTAGAGGTGAGTCAAAGGGTGCAGAGTGTTGTAAATTGCAACAGCCCAACAGCTGCAGGAAGAGCTTGCATCAGATGTTCAGGTCAGTCAAGGACCTCCAGCAATAGCTCAGAGCTGCTCCTACACTCAAGATCTGCCTAGTTGTTCCTGTGTGCTCTTCAAGACCCACAAGATTGGTCAGGATTGAACAAGTCCATGCATTACAGCCTCATGTTCTTCAGCACTATTAAACCAGGTACTCACCAAGCCCTGCAAGTTGGGAAGAAAGTGATGATGGTGGTGCTGAGTTTGCAACCATAGGGCTCACTACAGCTGGAGAGCCAGGACCCAAATCTATTAAGTTATCTTCTGTCACCTCATTCAGGACCTGTTGGGACGTAAAAACAACACAAGTTATGAGTGCCAGAGATTTTTTTTCTTTCCTACAGTACAACATTAAACACCAAAAAACAATGCCTGCTTCCTATAAAGACTTTTCTTCCATACTGCCAAATGGACTACCCCCTTGGATACTAAAGAGATTAATGTAGGAAAAAGAAGAGTCAGCCACTTAAAAATAAATAAATAAAAAAAATCAGCCTGACTGCTAAGGGCAACAGGGAACTGTCCTGGAGGTCATCTACATCTCTTCAGATTTATCTCATCTGCCTGTGTCTTCATCTTTTTGCACCAGACCACTGTGAGCGTCAGAAGCCTGCACAGACCCAAAAGCAATCACAAAAAAGTCAATAGATGAAAGAAAATCCATCAAGAACTGTAAACACAAAGATGTTTTGGAGCACTGACTTCCTGAGCCACAAGTCTGACATGCTCTTATACTCCTTTCCCTGTACCCACTATTCACCACCACAGACAGGACACACGGCTGGTCTGTTTGTCTGACCCAGCAGGACTGGCGTGGTGTAGCTCCTAATGTGACACATGCAGTTTGGCACTTACTCCGTTGCTGGCATTTTGTGTGGAACGTCCGGATCGGTATCGTTCAAACCTGTTCAAAAAAACCAACAATCAATCAAAAGGGACCATTAAAGCCACCAATAAACAATGAAAAATGCAAGTTTATCACGAAGTCAGGGCATGCTGCATAGTGAATGTAGCTTTCATTGGTTCAAGAGAGATCCTTAGCAGATCTAACTCCAAGCTAGGACAAAGGGAGGATAGTTACAGAAGTTGCATTGTTGGCAATGTGGATATTAAGTTGCCTAATCTGATCTTGCAGCACACACAGGCCTGAAAAACACTGTAGGATTTTGTCTTTTTTTTTTTTTCATTAAGTGCTTCTTGATAGACTGCTCTGTTAGCCAGGGGACAGAAGCAACTGCAGTAAGATTGATGCTCCCAGCTAAATCAGCTGAGCACCGCAGTGACTCTTACTCCCACTTAACAGCTCCCTCTTGCTGCACTACATGTAAATTAGAAGCAATATACATGCTAGCACAGCTCTACCCCAAGCAGAACGCACCAAAAGAAACAATGCTTAACAAAACCATTCCCTAACAATACTCGGAGATCATCAGGATCTGCGCTCAAAGTCGCTGCTATCTGAGAACCAACAATAATGAGGTTACATAAAAACCCTCATATTTCTTAGGGGAGGAAGTCCAGCCAGCCAAGACCTGGTTTCTTCTCTACTCCTTCCCCACCCATATGGACGCATAGGACCCCAAATGCAAACTCAGCATGCATGAACTCAAAAAGCAGAGGGAACTACCTCCTCTCGCAGCCTTCCTTATTGTTTTTCTGAAGTTAAGAGTTTCTTCTCATTCAAAAGTAGTAACACGTGACCTCTCTATTCAGTAAAAAATAAAAATACTATGGGTTTTCTCTCAGCTGAACAAAACACAGGGGAGAACTGCAAGCAAACTAAAGTGTTTTCATAAAGTAACAGAGGAAAACTTGGACCTAAAAGGCAAGAAAACAAATTCAGGCCCAAATTTCAATTTTAGGAAACTGTGGGTGTCTGGCATTAGTGGAAATCTAGTTCCTTAAGCTGGAAACCTGAGACACCTCCCACCTCCCATTTCTCACCAGCAGGCTGATGTACCACACATATTCTTTTACATCCAAAGCTCCACGGCGATGGCCAGAGCTCCTGCTCAAATCACTGAAAGAGCTTTGGACCCATAAGAGAAATCAACGTGACGAATGTGGAGCTTTTGGAACAACAGAGAATTGGAATTTATTGAAGCACTCAGACCACTGCAGCTATTCGACCATAAATAGCTCGCCAGCCCTGCTCAGCTCACCTTGCAGAGTATAATGGTTACAAATACGTCAGCTACAATCAGCAAAGCTGCAGATGGAATAACACAGAAAAAAAACATTCAGGGTGACCAAACTGAGCCTGAGTGATCGTTACTCTGTGCCCCACGTAGGATGGTGCTCATGCATGAAACACGTACCATTTCACACAAAAAGTCAGCATTTGTTTCAAAGTTTGCCCCGATCTCCTCTGAACGGCAAAATCAAAGACAAAATTGAGGCCACTGAGTCTTCTTTCCAGCCTCTGCTGTGACAGCACAGATTCACAGATCTAGAGTCTAATTTATTTTTAAAGGCTTGAGAAACAAAGCCCTGTGCTAGGAACAAGGAACAAAGGGTGCTCTTTAGTGCCTCGCTCCCCAGGCCTGTCATTAAGGGGAAGATTAAACTTTCCCAAGACTGTCGTATCACGTGTCGCTCCTGCAGCAGATGTGGCTGACAGCGCCTTTGTCTGACAGGCTGCAAGTCCTGTGACCCACGTCCCGCCCTGGGGATGATGCCTGCACGCCGACTCTTCAAAACCTCCGTTCTGTGCAAGCCGGGCCTTTTCAAGATGTTAAGCATTATTTAAAAACAAAACCCTTCCATGCATGAAGGCTTCGTGCACATCAGGCAGCTCCCCTCGCACCAGAACTGGAAGCTGGGAGCTCAGAGATCAGAAGGCAGATAGCTGCTCTGCAGAAATGCCTGTGCTGCTTCCTATGTCAGGAAGTGGAACTGGCAGCTGGGGCTGTGCTGCTCTCGTTCCCTGGTTCCTACATTCACACAGCAACACACGGTAGGAACTTACAGACTCAAGTGCCTGCCAGTTCAAAGAGTGTTGCACCATACTGTCCTGCATTTTACAGATATTCAGATACAGATATTTACAAAAATTCAACTGCGAGGAAAAAAAAACAAATAAACAACAACATAATATTAAAAGAAACAACTGAAACAGGAATATTATCATGAAAGACAACAGAAAGGCTTTGTAAGTGCTTCCTGTGCTTTGGTTTTTTACATTCTGTTATGCTGGCCCACGGGTCCAGATAGCCAACTTCATCAACTGCCCTGCAAGTGAAAACTCAGAATGAATGTAAACAGTAGATGGAAAAGGTGTCTCACCTTTCATATCTGAGGAAGACATTATTTAAATCATCATTCACATGCAGCAGTTCCTCTGTGACTTCTTCATTGGACACCCGTGAGATAAGCTCCACGATTCTCTGCTGCATGGCTCTACAGGTTCGGTTCAACTCCTATGAGGAATGCATTGTGCACGCACATTTTGATAAGCAGCCAGCAATAAATAGGTTTTGTTGAGTTCTTTCACAGCCAAACATATCCTGCAGCTGAGAAACACTAAGACAAGTCTATCTTTGCATGATTAAATGTCACCCAAAAGCACATCTAATCAAACATGCCCTTCAAGAGACGATGGCACAGAACTTTGAGAGCCTATTTAGAATTCAACATCCTGATTCTTTAACTCTGAGCACTTCAGAAAATAAATATCTGTATTTTAGTCATCTTCCTTAAGAACAAAATATGCTAATATAAGAGCCTTCCAGAAGAGTTGTCACTGAAAACTCTGTGTCTGCTCCTCTTGACAAAACCGTTTGCAACAACTAGAAGACACGTGGTGGAACAAGCAGGGAAAGTTCATCAGGGCTATGCAGCAGGAAGACAAGGGCAGGGGACACAGAGCTTGCCGTGCACGGAGAGAACGAGGGTGAACATACAGCAAGAAGCAGGAGCACGAACAGATGAGCATTCTCCCCCCCCCACCCATCAGTACTGAAGTGTACACAGAAACATTCCCTTCACGTGAGTCCAGAGATGAGGTTGCAAAAAGGCAGTGGACAGTTTGAAAAAACAAAAGCAAAAAATTCTAGAGCAGGGAGGCTCGAGTTTGTCTAAAGGAGTTCTCACATTTCCAGGACAATTCTTTGATCACCAATTACCAAGTAAATGAAAAAAAAATAAAATAATTTATATACATTTTTTCACCTCTGTTGGTCTGAAAGGTCTCACGACCAAAGGTCAAAGCTGGTATGCTGAGGAGGAACTACAGGAAGAAACACGACATATGGCATGGCACCACTCATTAGATCCACAGTTTTACTTCAATGGGCACTGACATTTCAACTAAAGCACGTCCTTCCGTCATCTTCCACCCCCCAGCTCCATTTCAGAGCAAAAATTCAGCACTAAACAAGGATGACTTGTTAGTACACAACCTTTGGGATGAAAGCAAAAATGTGTTTGTTTTCCTTGCATGGTCTGACATCCTAAGCTCTGGATAAATTTCACCTAGTGCAATCCAGCTGCCTTAACAGCTTGAGGAATGTGTTCTCCAATGTCAGTTTTGATCCCATCACTTTACAAGCAGATTGTGACATTTCAGAGGTTTGTTTGCTGCCTTTCTGAGAGGGCTGACAGTACCTATCTATTCTGCTCAGAGCTGGCTCTCTAGCAAGCTGTTTACATTTGATTGTTGGAGAAAATGTCAGGAATTATTTAAGGAGGATGGCTATATAAACCTCAAAGCAAGGAGTTCTTGCACACAGCACCCAGCTCACAGCTTTCAAAAGACCATCCATCCTTTGTCATCAAAAGCGGGTTCTCACCAGCTCTGTGATTCAGATTTAGGATGCAGCAGTTGAAGGGAACCAGTTGGAATAAAGAATCACTGCTGTCGTTCCGTTTCATGATCAAGATCTTTAACCTTAAAGCTATGCTGTAAGGTTACGCTGTCAAGATGTTGGTAGCTGTTTCTGAATGTAAGCAAAGCGTTCTACGCCGTTTTGGTCTGTCATGGGTTCCTGGCAGCTTCCTTTGCTTTGAGCTGTCCAACCAAATGGGCAGTAAATGAAAGGCTCTTTATCACAGAGCCTCTCGTCAGCTGCCATGATGGCTCCGAGACAAACACACAGCACAGCTGCATGGGAGAGACCAATTCTTGGATTGATTTCAAGCTCTGATGTATTGCAGAGAGCAATTCCCTGCCTTCCTCCAAATGTGCTATTGTGGGAGCCCATCCTCCCTGCTGGAGGATCAGAACAGCAGCCTATTTCTGAAGCTATGAAAAAGCAAATAGCACGGTAAGGGCAGTGGCTGGATACTGGCTCACAGTATTCCTCATCTGTGCTGCAGCTAGTTCATATTAACTTCCTCAGCCCAGGGGACCTCACTACCAGGTCTGGAGAAGTAGCTGTGAAGCTTGACCTGTGAGCTCAACATACAGGTTTCTTTTTCTTTCAAAGTAACAAGCACAGCACTGGATTGAGATTACCCAGGAAATAAAACAGTCAGGCCATGCTGACAGCATGAAACTTCACCTCAGCTCCTGCCTTAAGCCACTGCCTTCAGGACAACCTACAGCACATCTGCTGGAAAGAAATTCATTTATATCAAGTGGCAGAGAACTCCCAGACCCTTGGCAATTCTTAGTCCATCTGGAACCAAGTAATGTTTTTTTTTCCTGTAATGCCAGGAATGTTTTACTACTGCACACTTGATTGTAGAGGACTTGAAAGGAGAAATGCTCACTACTTGATGAGCATTTGAGGCAGCTCCAGGCTGTGCTGTGGTAAGGAAGACTATTCAACATTACGAAAAAAACCAACTAGCAACACGCACAGGAAAGTAGTGAAATGGGTATCAAAAGAAGTTGAGAAATCCTCATCATGAGAAGCTTTATCAAATGAAAAGCACTGAGAGATGAGATTAGCTGGGATCACGTGCAGCCCACATCCATTACATAAACCCAGCAAGTCACAGCACTGAAGGGAACAACAACAAAAAACATTCCGCCTCCAAAGGAACCAACAAAACCCACAACCAACCTCAAGCACGGACAAGACCAGAACTGTATTTGCTAGAAAAGTGTTACCTGGAGTAACTCAAGGTCTGAAGAATCCTCTTGTCCAGGAACCATTTCTGTCAGCATTTCAGACATCACTTTGGTATTCCCACGAACAATATCCAGTTCACTGCGCAGCCGGGCAATCTATGTTAGGGTAAAAAGACAGCAAAGTACTGCATAACCTTGTGGCTTTAACTGACTCAGTGGTACCTCTGGTTCTCTCTGATATCTGAGGCTCAGCATATTCTAGTGGGGGAGAAAGGTAAAGTTTCAGCCAGGAGAAAATTTTAGAGAAAGCAACAGAAAAAGAAACAGACTTTGTAATATCAGTCACTACCACAACACAGACAGATGTGCTACGCTTGTACAGAAGAGAAGCAATTGCAAACAGTGGCTAAAACCAGATCTTGGTTGCCATCTTGTGTGTCTTGCTCAAATGTGAGGAAGGATACACACTTTTCAAGCAGGATCTCTGGCTGCTAAGTTTTGGTGTTTGTTTTTTTTTAGCACAGAGAAGGATGACATTATATTAGGTATCCTGAGGGATGCAAGCTTAAGTCCTTGTTAGAAAGACTTACTGCATCTGCAAGGCATTTTGTGCCTCTAAAGGAGTATGGCTAGTGGAAAAACTGCTTACCTAGAGCACCACTGCTGAGTGGACTGGCGCATCAGACTGTGAGATTTCATAACTGCTGTCATTAGGAGGCCACACATACAAAGCTAAACCCTAGATTTTGCAGTACAATAGGAGGAAAGATTACTAAGTAGAACCAGCCCTAGGAGGCAATCAATGTCAGAAGAGTGAAAATGAAAGTTCCTCTGCAAATCGGTTTCTAATTTGATCTGCTGAGTTTCACTGAAAAGAATAATCATCCCAATACCTGTTCAGAATTGGCAGTGATGGGGCCAGTCACATTCAGAGCTGGAGCCTGAGGAGCAGAATACGCCGTTGGAGAAGGTGAAGAATAAGAACTGGTGCTCATCCTTTGCTGAGACTGTGAATTGTGCATATTTGCTGCAGGATCAACTTCAGGAACGCTCTGCCACATCAGAAAGACAGTAGTTCAAAAACTGAATGGTGACAGCACTTGCTTTGTCAGCAACCTCAAGCCAGATAGGCTCAAATATAGAACATAATTGTACCTTGTGGAAAAGGTCAGTGCAGTTACGAGAACAGACTGGCAGGCCAGCCCATAAACAGACAGCTGCAACCAAAACACACACCCGTGTTTTTTGACCCAGGCCACATGCACATAAGTCAATTTGTTATGAGAAGTAAAAAGCAACATAAAAATAAGAGCCAAAGATAAATAATTATAAATAATTTCAAACTAGGAACTAAACTGTAGGCTTACAAGAGATGACGTGATAAATAGGTACTGGATTTAATTGATCTTGACACAAGGATTGTAATCCTTCAGTTCTGATCATTTGCATTTACCACTTCAAAGACTCATTAACTTTTCACAGTGAATAATCAGAACACCTGTGATCATTAAGTTCCTTCCTAGCAGTAGTTTCTGTCAAGTTCACACACATAAGTTTTCAAAGGTATAAAGACCTCATGTTAGCATGGGATCAGAGGGAGATTCAGCATCTGCATACCTTTAAAATACGGGCAGGCTTTGGTTCAGGTTTATTACCAAGAGAAACAAGTATAATGTTGAGAAAATGAAGCAATCTCGTGTACTTATGGTCTCTCTCTGAGAATTAGCAGCATTTATGTGGTGGTTTTGTGGTACAAGACAAGCGTACAAACCTCTGAACTCCTTTCAGATTGATGTTTGACTCAAAGGAGGAGATCCCACTAACTTACCAGCCTGTCACAACGCAGCTGCATTATGCTTCTGCCCCTTCTCTAAATTCCTTCCAGGAGTGAGAAAATAAGTATAAAGAAACAGGAGGAGAAAGAAGAGTAGCTACCCAGCTGTGGAAAACACCCCCAGCATTGCAACATTGCAGCTTACCCTCTGTGGTGTGTGTATTGGAGATAAAGCATCAAGATCAGCCATGGGAAACTCTATGCCTTTCCTCTTAAGTTCTTCATAAATGTGCACTACTCCAGTTAAATCAGGGCTACTTCGAAAGGCATCAGCCCAGGCCTGGAAAACACGAGGGATTATCCATGGACATTCCCAACAAAGTTCCTTCTCCATCATGACCTCAGATACCAACCACAAAAGCTTTTGTATGTTTCAGCCCCAAAGGGAAGCTGCAGTCATTAGACCAGGTCTAAAAGATCCTGCAAATGTTATTAAGACAGTTATATCCACATTCTGTATGAGTACAGCATAGCAACCCACTGCACAGTCGTTTCGTATAGCCCCTGCCATCATCAGTCTGTAAATGCAAATGAAAGCTCCTTCCCATCTCCTCTCCTTAGCACTGTCTGCAGGCTGATCTCTTCTTCATGTTTTGCAGCCAACCACCCACCAGAAAATTAAAAACATACAAAAGATTAAATCAGTCTAAGCAGAATTCGTGAAGCCACATAATAATCTTAGGTTATTAACACTGTGAAACCTCCTCATTTATGGCAGAAGAAAAATCAGCTGTCAAGCTTTCTTCAGCATTTTTTTTTAAGACCAAACTTAAATAACAAGGGCTGTTTCTGAGGTTCATGTATCATGAAACATGCAGTCCCACGAGCAGCAGAGCTAACGAAGCCTGTACCCTTACAGAGCATATCCAACACTGAGACAGCCCAGTGTGTCAGACAGAACGAGCTGAAAGGGAGAACTTCCCACTCAAAATATCTTTCCCTCTTGAATTCTCCTCTGCCTAAGAAGGCTTCAATTCACACGTGAGCTTTTCCTTCATGGAGGTACGCAGTGTTTCTCCTCTCCAGGCAGCCTCCTGCCCTCACGAAGCTTTAGGAGCGCAGTACCTCGAACGACTTTTCCCTGCTTTCACTTTTGCTGGAAATTTGTCATGTATTAACAATGTAGGGGAGGGAAAAATTGCAATATCATGACTCGTTTAAAAATAAAGCATTCAGCTGAGCCCCCATATGTGTGATATGGAGTGCAGCATGCAGGCTCCACAACTGCTGTGAGACGCGCGTGGGTTCCGGCCTTAATTCATTTAGTCATCACTTTTACACTAGTTCCTCACTTATTTTTATTTTAAAACCTGTTTTTAGTTACTTTTTGTATTGGAGAGGAAAGAAATCAAAGGTAGAAAAACAAGCTAAAAAATAACATTAATATTTAACTTGCATTCCTGCTCTGTTCAATTCTAAGAAAGCATCTCTACGATATGTACTCAGGAGACAATCCACCATCACTCACAAGCTGGCAATTCCATGTTTCTTCCTGGTTAGCAAATTAACTCATCTACTGCTCTGATGCAGTGCAAGTCCAAGCAGTCCTGTCTGAGCCATAGAAACCAGCTCCAATTGCAACAAGCCATTCTGCTTCCTTGGAAGTGACCTTCGAAACCATTCCTGATTATCACAAAGGCATTTACTGCACAAGTAACTCTACCCTTGCACTGCCTTTACATTTTCAATTTACATAACAAGTCATCTGAATGATGTTTCTACATAATGGTGTTTCCCATTTCCACTCTATGTGCAAGTGGGAGTGGAAAATGTTCAGCTTGGGATGCTCTATTAAACAATCACTCAGAAGAAACTTAGAAGCAAAAGTCCCCAGCATTTCTTGGCACTTGTTTGCCCAGGAGCATGGACTGATGCATCCCTATTCCACTGGCTTCTTATGGATCTTTCGGAAAGCAATAACGACAGCGAACTCACTTATCTGCACTCTGCTTTTCTTATGCACTGTCTCTTCTGTAACTCTTCCCTGGAGAAACGAGACACTTTCATTTGTACTCTTCAGCTGCCCGCACTGGGACCGTTATCTGCAGCAGCACGTCTCGTAGAGGTCACACGAAGGACTGGGCACTGTTGTCCTAAGCACTGTCTGCACATGTTGTTAGACAATCCCTGCCCTAGTCAGCTTACCATTCAGCTAGGCAGAAGGAACATTAGCTCTGTGTTGCAGATAAGGAGCTGCACAGAGAGCTCAGGAGACTTGTCCATTGTCCAAGGAAGCGTATGACAGGGGTGAGATTGAATTCAGATCTGCAAAGACTTTGGGCCACACAATCAAGGGAGATATTTCAGGATGCTGCTGTGCAAGTCCCACTTGGCACCTCACCGTGCTCAAACAGGTGAATAAAATGCTATTGAAAAGCTGGCCCCAAATCAGTGACCATCACAAAGCAATTTTTCCAGTATGACATTTTTTAATGCATGTTCCTTCAAAAGAATATGCCATACCTCTAAAGGCCTCCCTAAGCTTCACCTCTGGTGCCAAGTGGGAAGAATAGTTCCAGAGCCTTCTATCAGAATAAGGAAGGATAAGCAGTTGGTAATATATGCTAATTCATGTACAGTGAGAAATAGGTTGAGAAACTGAGACACAAGATGCCCAATGTCTCAGAACAGTCTAGGCTCTACGTAAGGAACTGCATGGCAGCTTTCTCTGCTGGTGCTCTGGGAAGGTCCAGGAGTACAAGAGCTATATGGCTGAAGACGTATGCTGTTTGTACAGCTTTATTTTCATGCTTCCCAGTCTGCTATTAATCCTCACATTTCTGTTCTTATTAATTCCCTGATACAAACAGTAAAAAGCCTACAGAAAGGGATAAATGTAATGTTAGCAGAGCAGAGCTGAGATCAGCACCCCTGGCTCTGCAGAGAGCTCAAAAGAGCAAAGTCTGAGCAGAGCAAAGTGATCATGACACACAGGATGCTCTGGGTGCAACGTCCATAGGGCAGATGAGAGGAGAGCAGGCACTTCCCTGAATTCATCAGGCAATCTGGAACACAGAATACCCTACCAGCCCCAGCTACAGTGACACTAACAGAGCCCCCTGACAGGCAACGTCCGTAATTCCCAGGCTTTCTATATCAAAAGCCACATAAGCCCAGGACTCAGAGTAACCAATATCCCCTAAGACACTGTAGAAAAGGAACCAGCAGGGAAACACACGCACAATTTCTCCTTATGGGGCAGTATTTAACATCACTGCCCCACCACCACACGTACCAGCTCTCCCCCCCAAGCAGACACCCAGGGCCCAGATCAGAGACCAGAAATAGAGGAACTCCATGTGCCACAGTGAATGCCCACCTTGTCTCCCCACCCAGCCTATTTCCTTTTTGGAAATCACTTATTTACATTGTCATGCTCTAACAATGCCCTGCCTGCGTATCCAAATAACAAATACACCAGTAGGAATTCAACTGCATGTTTAGCCACAGAAATCAGAAGTATATTTGGAAAATTATGCCATGTGTTTGTAAATGCCATCCCACAAGAAACATTGCAGCAGGTTTATGGAATACATGGTATCTCTTAGTCTCTGGTATCTGCAGCAGCCAGTAAGAGCTTAGTGATAAAGTTGCCTATAATTGTGAAATCTCCTCCAGGCAGGCACCAGTGTTTCCTCGTGTTGCAAACGGTTGCTGGAATTAACATGGCTGTTTATTGTTAAGCTGCACAGAAGGAAAAGTGGCAGACAGGGCAATATCTGAACTGACAGTGCACTTTCACTGCAGAACAACCAGAGCAGGGACACCAAAGCCATTTATCTCCTGTATCATCCTTAACTTTTCCGTAGCCACCTTTAAAAGGAATTCAGAATACTTTGTAAAGGAGGGAAATGACTCCATTCAGGGAAACAGACATAGGAAGGTTAAGTGTTCTCTTCAAATGGCAATAAAAGCTCTAAAATTTCCTGGCCTCTAATGACAAACCCATCACAGAAGCAGGTCTGCAGCTTCTAAATTTGACTGTTAAATTGCAAAGCAACCCACTTATCTTTAAGCCCTCTTGTTTCAGAGCAGAGAGTTATCTTTCCAACAAGAATCCAGACATTTCTCCCTGGATACAATTCCTCTGCATGCACACATCTGCTCTTCGCTACCAATCTGGATACATTGTTTGTTTTTACATATAAAAATCTTGCCACATTTTTAATGATGACAGCATGTTCAGCGAGGCGTAGCACTGCAGCAGACAGTCCTTACTTCAGGCAGCAACATAGGGAAGCACAGACGAGCCGTGTACCTGAATCAGTGCGAGTACTTTATCCTGCACAATGGTGGGGGGATTATTCTTGGGCGAGATGATTTTCACCAGCACACCATCTATGAAGTCACGGTTTGCCACTAAGACATGAAAGCGATGGCCACAGTTCTTCACACAGGTCTCCAACACCTACACACAAACAAAAAGCGTTCGTTGTTGGAGCAAAGCTCGACCACGCACACAGCAGCAATGTGGTTGGTTTCTGGTTTATTTATTTACTAATAAAATGGAAGAGAGAGAGACAGAAGAAAAGATTATAAGATTTTATATTCTTATATTCTCAGTTCTTCATTTTTTTTTCTCCAGTGTTGTCAAAAAGCTTCCTTCCTACACACACATTCTGAAGTACCTTGCCTATCATCACCATATTGGACACTTCTGCAATTTACTTTTGCCTGTTTTCAAGGTAAAGAAATATAAGGTTTCTTTCTCTCTAAAGCACTTTCCAACTTGCGCAGCTGAGCAGCTAAATACAGAGCATCACATCCAGAGCAGGTAAGGCAGAGGACATCCTGTCACTGTGAGATATTATCACGCTGTGGCACTCCAGCATTTTCTATGTAGCTGGGACACAGCTGGACCCGGTTGCTCTGAGCTACAAGTCATGTTTTTGGGTTGGGAATTCAGGTGAATGATCCTCACTCATTCAAAACACTCCCCTGTGAATGCTCTGGCAGGTTATACTTTGACACATTTTCCCCCTGCAACCTAGCTAGAGGCACCTTCCACTTGCCATTCAACTGCCATGGAAGAACAGCTGTTGATTTTTCTCTGAAGAACATGATTAGCATGGAGATAAATCCAACGCGTCACTTCTCCTTACAGCTATGCCTAATAACTGCTGCAACTCTCTATCTGAGGAGTCTATAATTACTCTCCTACTCCAGCCACTTTCATCAGCTCTGATGACATGGACTCACTGCTGATGAATTTTGCTCTTTCCTGCGCAATGGATAATCTCATGGTTTGGTCCTTGGTAATCTGTCAAAATGACAATCCCGCACAGGAAATGGCATGAAGACAGAAAGTACAGTCACGCTTCATCAGGGAGATGCAACAAGAGCTCTGTGAAAGAATCGTACAGATCACCCACCCACAGCAGCATAACTCGATCTCGTTATTGCTGCTCATTCCTCAGACCGCTGTGGCGCACAGCCTGCCCAGCATCACGCCTTTGGTGTGCTGCATTACCCAGGAAACCCCAGCTCTCCCCAGTAGGAAAGGTCACTGGCAAATTATCTCACACCTTAGCAGATGCACAGAATATAATTTACACTGTATTGAGCAAAATTAGATCAGCATAAATTAATATGAGCCTCCTACGGAGATCCATTCACAAGGGAAACCGTATACCAGCTACTTAGGAAGTTGAAAATACGGCAAGTGCCATATTTCCTACTTGCAAATATGCCCACAGTTGGGAGTGGAGAAACAGCCTGACATAGCAGGATGAGGGTAGTAAAGTCCCAAAGGGTAGGGACACTTGAGCTACGACTTCCCTCTGTCAGTACTTAGGCTGGAGAAGCGCACAGACAAAAGCAGAAATCACTTGAGTCACTTGAAGCAAAGCTTCCAGTACCTCTCCTCAAGAAAGCGTGGAGGCAACTGAAGAGAAAAGGGCAGAGTAGTGACCACTCACAGGAGAAGAATGTGTATATTCAAAAGAATGCCAGGAAAAACAAAATGACAAAAGAAAAGGGATCTGCCCTTTCGAGGCATTCCAGCCTGCCTCCACTCACCGTTAGAGCCAGCATGACCTCTCTGTAATTTTTGTTTCCATTCAGCCTCTTCTTCAGCGCTCGAATGGCATCCTTTGGACTGAAGGAGAAACATACCATCGTAAACAGACAGCTCACATACTTTTCACATGCCATACTGAGGGACAAGAATCCTTTATCATTCCTAGATGGACATAAGCATCTGTATTATCTTTAGATAACTTCACTACAACTAAGCTAGGGTCATGTAGAATTATGTGAAAAGACAAAGTATTACAGATACTAAGGGCAGAGCAATGCCTGAGGCCACCAAAATAGCAAGACATTGATCAAACAAAGAAGACTGACAAACTCAGAAGGAGGCCCAGAGTTTAAACACCAGCCACGGGCTCTCCTGCAAACTGCAAGAAGCACAGCTTGTCAGATGCTGAAGGAAATGCATCAAAGAAGCTTCTCTATTCAAACGGCTGAAATTGATAACATTGAAGCACTGAGATGCATCTACCAAAACCAAGAAGCCCCGAAGTACAAACTTGTTACTCTCTCCAAGCAGACATTTTTTTATGCCAGCCTTCCCAGGCAGACACGTAGCATAGAATATGCTGGACTTTACAGAGCTTCTCTGAAAGATGAAAGGAGGAAAACCAAACAATTTGCATGTAAACTGCATTTGAGCTACAAGCACCTGCCCCCAGACTCACTGCACCTCCTCACACGCTGAATTGCCACTGGAGGTGACTTTGCCCACGAGCCTTTCCAAGTTTGCTGGAATAGTGCATACCCTTCTTCTGTCTCATTGATAATGTCACAGATCTCCATGTTAAGCGTCCAGTCTTCGCTCTGTAGAGAACCATCTGTGGCCTTTTCTGAAAAGAAAATAAAACATTTATATATTTTTCTTCCCACATCTTTCTGATTAGGTACTTCAATCCATCTTCAGTGACTCAGCTGAAACTGTCCAGTAAAAGAAAAATAGAAATAAACAAGTCCCATCTTCCCCCATTGACTCTAAGCAAAGTCCTACCTTCCCTCCTGGTTTAACGGTGAGCATGGAGGCTTCCAGGCAGAATCAGTTATCCCACAAACTCACCACCTTCAGCCCACACAGATGGGCAGTTCCACAAAGACTCCTGACTTGCCAGGAAAATGTCAGCTAATTCCAACTTAAACCCTTCAGATACCACACTGTATGAGGTAGGAAAACCTCCCCCAGGCTAACAAGACCACCTTCCTGGAAGTTCTACAGGAAGAACAACCTATGGCACAGCTGCTGGAAGTCACTCATGGATGATTGCACGAGTAGCATAACCACAACTTCAGATCATCAGTTGACAAGAACTATTTCCTCTTTGGGATTTCCTTTTAAATCAACACAGTTCTGCCTAGCGGTGCCTAAAACACCCCATTACATTTTCACACTTCTCACTTGCAGCGTTCAAACCCTGTCTGTGTTGCTCTATCCACATGCAGAAAGGCTGCAAAGTTCAAGGTGAAGCCCGTGGCCAAAGAGACCCAAAAAGCAGACCTTCATGGCAAACAAGATCTTTTCTTCCAAATTAGTCTAGGTTTTTCTATGGATGCCTGGTATCCAAATAAAGCAAAGAAAAGCTTTTATTTTCCCTAATATAAAATCAACAAGGAAAAAAAAAAAATCTTCTAAATATCTTAATTCAGAAACAAAACCGCAGGTACCATCTTCTCCAGCTATCCTTCTGTCTTTACATCACATCCCAATCTGTCCCCCAGAACAAGGCAGATTTTGTTTTAGAACGCCGGGCTCCAAGGACTTCACACTTCTCCTTTTCTGTTTACCAACAGTGTTTTTCCATTAACATTTTTATCACTGTGACTGCGCACAGAGATGCCTGCAGGCCGTAATTACGGGACATTATCTGGAAAAAGACAATGTGTCTGGATAATTCAGGTTTCAGAGACTTGTCAACACCAGCACAGTGGCTAAAGCAGCTGCACCACGAAGGCAATTACAGAGGGCTGAGATCAAACAGCGTGCAAAATCCACACGGAGAGTGAGAAGCCATCTACCTTCAGAATGGAGAAGACACCGACATCAGAGACATCGACAGCGGGGTCGAGTGCACTCTCAGCAAGTTTGCAGATGGCACAGAGCTGTGTGGTGCAATCAACACACTCAAGGGAAGGGATGCCAACCAGACAGGCCAAGCAATAGGCCCAGGAGAACCTCAAGAGGTTCAGTAAGCTCTGCACCTGCATCATGGCAACCCCTGCTATCACTACAAGCTGGAAAGGATGGTGCACGGCCCTGCCAAAAAACGACTTGGGGTAGGCTGAATATAAGGAAGATGTTCTTTATGCTAAGGGTGGTGAAGCACCAGCACAAGGTGCTCAGATGTGGCAGTGCCCCATCCCTGCAGACACCCACGGTCAGGCTGGAGGGGCTCTGGGCACTGATGGAGCTGTGGGTGTCCCTGCTCAGGGCAGCAAGAGAGACCAGACGGCCTTTAGAGGCCTTTTCCAACTCAAACCGTTTTGTGATTCCATGACATGATGGAAAACGAGAGCATTCAGCCCTCAGCCTGCTGTGTTTTGGTTCTGCAGGGGCTCTCCATCACTACGTAACAGTGCTCTAAGAACTGGCATGCAGCTTCCCTGCAGCCAGGCAGCTCTGCTGTGGGGCTGCAAGCAGCAAATCTGGGTCAGGCACGCTGCAAAGAACGAACGACAACAGCAGCAAGTGCTGAAGAGACTAAAATTAGCTCCTGACTCCTGTTCAAATTAAACATCACCAAGGGGAAAGGAGCTCATTTCCACAAGACAAGCGTATGTCTTAAACCCACACAGGCTCCCCCATATTTTACACTAAAGACCAGAGACAAAACAATAAAATAAGCATAAAGGCAGTAACCAAACATGGCTGGAGAAGGGGGATTTTGCTTTTCCTCCTGTGGCTGCGGGGAGAAATAGGAATGAGGTTATTGGGGACCACAGCCCAGTGTTCCTGTGTGCAGGATGCAGCAGCATCACTTCGCTTCATCGTCCCTGCAACATGGCAATTTCTAGCAGGGAGCAGTGCCACAAACACGCTTTGTCAGAATAAACCTCAGCTAAACGGGTTTTACAGGAGCAATGAATGAAAGGGGTGCAAGCACTGCTTGGTGCAGGATCAGCGTTTTCCACAATCATTTTTAAGACGTGATTATAGCAGACCCATAGACTATGAATATTGCTAAGCCGCTGCCTGCTGTCAGACGCTGTCAAGAACACACAAATTTTTAAATATATTTTTACATTAAGAAAACAAATCAACTGCCCAGATTCAGGAATATGGTCTGTTTAAGGCATAGCCTCTCATTCTGCATCACTGTGCACATAAATCCCTCGCAGCCTGGGTGACCACCTCCAGCAGAGCAGATGCTGCGACTGTTCTTTTAAATCTCTTTAAATATTAGAGGGTTTTTAATGTTAAATAGAATGTTTTGCTAAGCAGCAAGGACTGCATGGAGGTGAAGGCAGATCACGTTCTACAGCAATAAAGCTTTATGTACACTGCAAGAACAAAATGCACCTAATGAAAGTGGCTGCTACAAGCAGCTTTGCATGAAGCTGAATTCCCAGAAAACGTTGTGCTACTCTGCCTCCACTCCTCTATAGAGAATCTCCCCCAGCAGATCCAAAATACAGTGAATTATAAATACTCAATATCCAGTGCAGTATTTACTGGATATTTCAGAAGCTGTGCATCTCCTCAAAGCTCTTTCTCAATCAGCAGATAGACACGACTGAGAAAATTAATGGCACTTTGGATACTGGTGCAGAATCGGGAAGGAATGCCATGCAAACGCTGCACATACTGCTCAAAAATCACCAGCTCCCCAAGCTCAGCCTCACTGAAAGGCATATCAGTGGCACAAGGGACTTCGAGATACAACCAAAGGAATTCCAGGATAAAAGTGTTCAATCAGAGGAGGAAAATGGCTCATGCTCGGGCATGGTTCCAGCAGCACATCTCCCACATTAAAGCTCTGGCACAACCGGGTGAAAAGCTCTCCAAAAATTGTATCTGTAAAAAACAGTGATTGCAGCCCTGCGTAACCAAAAAGGCCAATCTGTAGTGTTGCACTAGCTGCAAATCACGTTACATGAAAACAGGAGAACTGTGGTGGTTTCTGTCTGAATACCAGAGTCTCCTGAATGAACAGATCTTTGTGTTCAGAGAAATCACAGCTTTCTCTCTTGGGTCTTTTCCAGATGTTACTTCAGAGACTCCTGCTTCAAACATTTGGGAAGAATTACGCACAAAAAAGCACCTCCTGCTAACGCAGGAAACGTGCACATTAATGCACTGCTACCCAGATCCAAAAGCAAGGAAGTTCTGATTACAAATTCCTCCCCTCCTTCAGCTAAGAGCTGACTTTTGGCATTCGAATGGCATCAAACATCCTTTCTGCTTGGTCTCGGAATTTCAGAAGATTGCAGATCTGAAACCTTTGTCTTATCTCTTATTAGTCCATCTGCCTACCAGTGGTGCTCCAAGGCTGAAATTAGAAAATCAAGCTGTCAGATGTGTCACATTTCACTTCGCATAACACGCAGCAGCAAACAGAAGCAGCCACAGTATTGCAGGTTCTTACTGCCATCCTGCTGGATTGCAGCTCAGCAGAGCTCTCAAAAAACAAGGGTGGTCAGCTCAGATCAAAGCAAAACACTTTCACAGAACAGGCAAAGGTCCTCTAAGACAAAAAACAAACGAACAAACAAAAAATCCAGTTTTGCAAGTGACATGAGGGAAGCTCACAAGGGAAGATAAGCTACTGAATGAGATGAGAACATCTCTACTCCGAGCTGTAGCTCGTAGAACTGCTTTACGTCAAAGAATCGTTACAGAATCAAGCAACTGCTCTTGGCACTCTTGCATTCACCAGCTCCTCCACGGCCTGCATGGCACCAGCACTGAGCCCTGGGGGGGACCATGGGGACACATTAGCAGTCTGAGCTGCATGAAGATGAGATGGAAGCTGCTGGGCATTCATGTGGCCACTGCTGTATTCAAGACATCCTGCTTGAAAGACAGTGACACAACAGAACAACACACCTGGATCTAACAGTCTGTTCTTCCTTTCTCTGCTTTTGCTTTTGAAAGGAGCCACAGGCACTTGGACATCATGATGATCAACAGGAGGGTGGGTTTTTTTTCCCTTCTGATCAAAACTCTGCTATTAAAAAAATAAATGTGAGTCATTGGAGATTATAGATCAAAACTCAACTCTTAAGTGCTTTGCTCCTTAAGAACTGCCAGTTTCTTTGTAAGAAAGCACAGCTCCAAGAGCGTTTTTCAATTAGCCACCTCACTGCTCCAAGTCCTTTTTTTTTACATTCCTTATTTCACACTGCTCTGAAAATGCTGAGCTTCACACTTCCAAAGAAAAAGGCAGTCAGCTAGAACAAACGGGCTCAATCGGAGCTGCAAAGCATTACAGGAAAACGTGATTTGGGTTGTACTGCTGCAGCACTGGTCACCCGCTATGACTGCCGTGATTTTTCAATTGATTTTAGCTATGCTTACATCGAAACTCTTTGGGATGAAGTCATCTACCCTCCACTCACTGCTTTGCCAGTTTCTGGGGCTGAATAAATGAATAATCATAGCCTGTAATGACTGCAGAGTCTACATTAAAACAAAATAACAAGAGAATCTGAGGACACGCATATGTGCAACCGTAACGAGTTTTGAGCTCAAATGCTGTCTGAAAGCACAGGAGACTGGGAACTGCCACTTCTCCAATTAACTCCCAGATTTCCTCCTTTTTGAAGCTGCTGCCCGCATGCCAAACTTCTTCAATCCAGATCACACTTACCTGCAAAGATGAACATGTAACACACAATTATT